GAAATTCCAGTAAAGTTAATATATTGGATGACTACTTTCAGATCTAATCAACAAATTTATTATAGGTTATATTAAAGAATTTAATGAACCTTAAATTATATAAAACTAGATAGTAAAAAGGTAAAACAGTGACGAAAAGAAGTTTCCCTGTTAATAACTTAATGCAAACTGTATAAAATAGAAAAAAATAATAATATTTCAATAAGAGTATTAAGTGAAATGTTAGTTGCGTAATTGCTTTTTTCTATTGTAGAAATAAAATATTATTTTTCTTCTATTAAATTATTATGACTGACATTCGTAATGTAAATCAATTTTGAACTTGTTTTATTATTGAGAAAAGATGGGACATGACTGACCGAAAACAAGAAAAGTGGGAAATAATAAAAAGCAAAACAAGTCAAGTTGTAATGAAATATGATAATAAGTAACTAAATGATGGGTAGATGTGCCTAGTTTAGCCAATCACAGAAAGAGGTTGATAATACATCATTGAAAAAATGAGGACGAATAAAATGAACATTTAGCAAAACTTAATTTCAAACATTAATTAAATGGTTTATTTATTTATTCATCCGACTAATTTTTTTTCTAAAAAAATTAATTACTTAACAATAATTTAATTATTGATATTACTAATGGAATATAAATTATAAAAAAGTGATTGTTTGGTAAAAATTCAATGATATAAGACAACTAATGAATAATAATATTTCTATTATAACATTACTACTACAATTTCATTAATGTTTAATTTAGTGTAATGATGAATTTAACAAAAATTTCAAGTGGAAACTTTTCAACTCAATAACTACTAATTAGTGGATAGTAGTATGTTACTGACAAATAAAAACGATTTATTGATTAAAGAACATCAATTGATAACTCTGAGTTATGTGTTCTGTTATATCTGTATATCCATAACTGTATGCATAGAAAATTGAATTTTAACTGATTTCTACACTTTTACAAAACAGGAGATTTAAACTTTGAGTGAAATCACAAGAAAATATAAAAGATATATTTAACAGAGCGACTATTATCTGAAATTATTATAATGTTTTGCATAAAAGAATGTAATATTTTTAAGTAACGTTATGATGGTGACTAGTAGTGAAACTCACAATGCGCATGTCACCTTATTTTAGACTCGTCAGCTTGGTATACCTTTTTATTCTTAGCATAGAGACTTGAACCCAGTACCTCTTGCTTCAAAAACTCAATATGTTAGCCATTTTGGCACTTAGTTCAGGCACTCACTGTCTTTTACAACTTAATAAGACCTAGGAGTTAAAACCATTTTTTATAACTTATCGTTTGAATGCTTATTGTCTTGGCTCTTTTAATGCTACTTTTTTGTATCTGGTCGTCGCTGATTGCTATGTCAGAAACACTTATCACTAATACTCGGAATGGGGGACCCCTACAATCCCCGCGACGCGACAGTAAGAATACAAAGACTGGTATTGGTGATGATTTATTAACCCCAAAACACGAAAACGACAACGATTCTAGTAGAAAATACACTCATTCATATATTGATTGTACACCCATTTTTGATTAATAATTAGGATGAAATCACATATATGAAAAATACTTAACGTTATAACAAATCACAGACTAAGTATAGTTCATGTCAATGGAATACAAGAATATAGTATGTTATACAGAATCAAATATCATACAACAAAATAAAACAAATACTACATTGAGTAATCATTACATGGAATCAGAACGGAAATAGGGTTGAACAAAAATCATAATGAGGAAATCAATCGAATTTTGACTTTTTTTTCATCATATCACCTTTCCGTTTGCTGGTCTCATTAATCATAATTGATCGATCTCTTTTGATAAGTGTGAATTTTGAGTGCATTGTCTTGATATCCACGTCCCAATTTCCGCTTCTAGCCACCAAAAAAATATCGTTAAGAAATGACTGTGAGTCAAAAGCACGATTGCAAAAACACGCTCAAGTGTACATATTGCTAATATAGTTACTTCATATATTCCAGAAGTGCTGGTAACATTTCAAGAACCACAGAATGATCTTAGTAATATATATATTCTCTAAACGTTTTGATTAAAAGGATAAATAAACTGATAATTAGCAACTATTTTTGTTTACACTCAAAGAATCTAAAGTTCCAGTGATCATTCATTACTTATAAAATTTGACCGAATCAAAAGCAAAATAATCCTCGTAGATGAAATCTGGGTTCTATTCTCGATTGATTGAAGTTGCCAATCATGCTCACTACGTTTCAACTCATCAGGCAATAGAAAACGAGACTTTGAAGCTGATTCACCATTCAATCGTGTATCAAAACTGAACCAATTTTCACTAATTAGAGGATTAGTTCTGTTCTTTCACTAGATCTGTGTGACTAAATGTTCATAATTATAAAGTGTTATAAGAAAGTAAGAAATATAAAAGTAATTAGATAGAAATAAACCAGATAATTTCTATCAATGGTATAAAAGTCTTATTGATCACAATGTTCACAAATTATTGTTTTATTTTTCACTAGTTGATTTGTGAAAGTTTTTCAATTTGTACTGAAATTATCAACTGATCAAGTTACGTAATCGTTAAGAAACTGTAAGTACTGGACAACCATTTTGTACTAACATGGATACTTCTCCACAGTAAGCATCTACGACTATACCACGCAATTTAGTTTCTACTTCATTAAGCATTTATATATTATAATTCAGTAGTGAGCATATTTTATTGTTTTTGTGCAATAATAAATATATTTTCCATAATTCTTACTTTTTATATTAACAATCAACAAGGGTTGTTTTCAATAGTAAGTACAAATTAATACTAAACTCCACTATATAGATTTCTACAGCTGAATAAATAATAGAAAATTTATGTAAACAGAATGAAAGACAGAAACTGACAAATAAGTAAATAAATACAATGTGATAAGATGACGAGAATCGAGTATTTTTATTTCATTCCTTACACAAATTACTGTTCATTTTATAATCTATAAAATTTGAAAAAGTAAAAACAACAGTTCGGTTTTTATAACAAGAATACATATTGGTTAAATGATGTTGAACATTTTTGTAGTAAGTCGTTTCTTTTAAATAAGAAAAACACAACCAAATGAAATCGGTCATGTGATCAGTGTTAGTTATTAAATAAAAATAATCACGGAGATGTGAATTTGTTTTAACAATAGTTTGTTTTAAAAAGAGAAATGAAAGTCTGACTTCAGCTAAACATCCAAGGAACTTCTCACTATTACATACGCACGAAGGACAAATGATGAAAATTTGCAAATAAATTATTCAGTATATGGCTCTCATATTTTGCCAAGAGATTCTGTAATTTATTGTAAACATATAATAAGTTGTCCCAAAAAAGTGTTTTCGTTCATTACACTACACTTCCAATAATGACCAACACTTACAAAAAAAGAGATTTATTTAAGTAATTGTTTAATCGACTAAATTGAGATGAAAACCTTAGAAAGATTAACTATGTTCTCATGAGAACCTCGAGATATGTAAATACCCTATAAATTGGAACTAATTATGTTGAATTTGGTTTTAATTAAAGACTTTCTTAACTTGAGTAATTCTTGTAACATTGAAGAACCAGTCTTTTAGCAAAAATAAACTAAATTAGATCTTTGATAATGACATATAATTATTTTTCAATAACTTGAAGTCAAACTTTTTTATCAGTTGTTGTTTGCTACTAATTTAATTAGAAGACGAACTAGATTAATCCATTACATTGTCAGATCAAGATTATAAAAAGGTAATATGAAGAAAAAAATTAATTAATAAATACTAACATCTTTATAACAAACCTTTAGATAGACAGAATTGTAGTGATTTTGTATTAACCTAACTTATAAATTACTATTTTTCATCCCTTATCATATTTCTTACTGTATACAATGTGAATTGTTTTGATTTTGAAAATTACATACAACTCTTAAACAAGTACTTGTAGATGAACTCTTGATTGGATTGTAGCAGCCGCTGTCATGTTGGAAATATCAGTTGATTACATCCAATTCAGCAGAGGATGCTGTTAGTATTCCTTAGCTAGTTAATCAGTAGGATTTGGTTGGTATTAAAAACTAGACATACAAGCACATCTCACTACGAAAAACTAAATTAGTTCTTAAGCATTTGTATCATATATACAGTAAACCCCACTCCAGGTAAGAGGACAGTGATATCTCAGAATAAAAAGAGGATAGTAAGATCCTACAAAGAGTACCGACACATTTAACCCAGATTCCTTTTAATAGCAAGTGCAAACTGAGGTAAGACTTAAGTACAGAGCTTCTCAATAAACACCAGCAACCACTTAACATCAAACTATTAACTTTATTATTACAGGACATTTCATTTTTATTGTAATCCTTGGTTGTTTGTGATACGGTGAGACAATAAATAGTAAAAGTCAACCGATGGCAATCAGAAGTTACCTAAGGGTCAAGTACATTTCATTGAATTCAATTTCCTAAGGATTAGAGTGACATATATATGAATAAGTATGTTTGCATTTCATTCTGTAGTCCAATGCACTTTCTCGCTCAAGATGTCAGTTGGGGGAGGTATTTCAAATCATACAAACTGATCTCAGTCAACTACTGTAAACTAACAACCACCAGACAACTATTTCGTCCTACCATTGGGATCTCTTCCACAGTTTTCGTGGCCCAGTAACTGACGCTGGTTTGATTGTACGAAGATTTTATGATCATAAATCTTCCACTGAACTTATCTAGATCAAAAACCACAGCTTATTTAAGCACATTACTCACATAATCATGACTAGCTTATCGACTACTCAGTCTGTATTCAACTTATCAGTTATTAGTTTTAGACAGATTGTACACTTGTTCAGTATATATTGGTTGCATAAGGGCTTGAAATAAATTTAATAAAAGTCCTATAATGTAAACATTAATTACTTGGTTAATCGTTGAAATTGTGTTTGGTCTTTTTTTATTCTCTTGTAGAAAGAGTATCTTATGCTTGTTGAGAAGTGCATGAATTTCGCATGTGAAATGATGGATCTTTGTCGGGGTACACAAGAAGTTGAAGCGGTTATCTCAGATTTTTTAGAAGATGGAACAAATATCCGCGATCCACTCGGTCGTCTACGACTTGCTATACGCTTCGAGGAGAAAAAGGTATAACTGCTGGAATTATTATTAAATTGTAATAATCTGAATATTTCCTACTCTTTTTATATCATGGTTTCTGTTTGACTGGATTATGCTCATTTAATTATGTTTTACTTTCAACTAATTTATAAAATGGCTTCCAAATGCAAGTTTTCATGTCGTCATATGAAAAATTTATCTCATTTAAATTAGGCATATATAAATAACGTTGACAGTTATGCATCATTATCAGCCATACTGCGTCACAGAAATATAATCAATATGTCATTACCCTTAAAAAATTAGAACAAAACATATAAGCGAACAATTGTTTTCAATTAGATCGTCATCAGGCTTTACTCTAATATACATGAATATTTATACGAAAATTTTAAACCAATCAAGGATCTTTGTTCACCAACGTACCACTTATGGAGACTATTGAGTTTATATGCAAGCAAATATCAAAAAAACAAATAAACATTGGCTTGCCTAACGATAGCCTAAGGGAACTGCTCCTAAGATGAACTCTGAATGTACATTTTGTCTTCAACAATACTTACTATAGACAAATAGACGGGATAGTCATGGGCTCGCCTCTAGGCCCGATTTTAGCTGATCTCGTCCTAGCAAAGCTAGAAAATGGACCTCTCAATGAGACTATTAAGAAACTTGATTTTTATTACCGATACATTGACGACACATTCATTATCGTAGATCAAAACACTAGTAAAGAGGAACTCCTAGACCAATTCAAGTGTTCACCCAGAGATCACTTTCACTGGTGAAAGCGAGCATGATAAGAAGCTGAACTTCCTTGACGTCACACTAAGCAGACGAAGTGACGACACATTAAGTAGAAGCGTGTATAGAAGAAACCCCACTTCATGCCAATATACTCACTTCTGCAGTTTCACACCCATCCGTTACAAGAGAAATTTGGTCAGATGTCTCACTAGCAGAGCAAAAAAGATCTGTACAGTAGACATTCTAAGTCTGGAGCTTGAATTTACCAACAACTCACTGATCGAGATCGGCTACCCCAGCGCGTTCATTAGGAAGTACATGCATGATATAATAAAAAAGTCGGAGATTTCGACTGTTCGTAAGAAACCTTTATACATGAAAGTGCAATTCAACGGGGATGTGGCTAGTGACACTCTGAAATATAGGTTAACCAAAGTAATCACCAGGACATTCTACGCAGCCAATCTTGCGTTGACCTTCTCTTGTCGACCAATGGTGTCTACTCAAACGAAAGATAAGTTACCTGAGTTGGCCTCTTCTATGTGCATTTACAAATTCAGCTGCTCCTGTGGAGATAGCTATATAGGGCGTACTACCAGGCAACTTAACCAACGAATGAGTGAACATCTAGCAACTTAGTACATAAAGGCCAGAGAAAATCTATTCGCAGTTCTATATTGTGTTATCGTTAACCTTATTTCCACAGCCATTATTTGTTTGTAATTTTCCGCCTCTCTGTATTCTTCACTATCTAATTGTTTACACACATCTTATTACGTAATGATTTTAATGTTTTGTGATTACTATTCCTAGTCTATTTACCCATGTTTATTTGACCTTCTATTTCCAACGTTAAACCATATGTAAGAGTTTTGTTATCATGTTTTTTATTATTCTTACTACTATCAGTTCACCTGTCTTCCTACTACAAACTTGTACTTTTACATATTATGTGACTTATTCTATTTCATTGTGATTATTGACTCATATTGCCTTGATTGGTTTACATTTTCGTATAAATATTCATGTATATAAGAGTAAAGCCTGATGACGATCTAATCGAAAACAATTGTTCGCTTATATGTGTTGTTCTAATTTTCACAATGGGAATCTTTAATATTCCTTAAAATATTGTAATAGTTTATTTAGTAATATCATCAAAAATTTCAACATTGATTGTCAGATTGTTAAGATAAGCAGACTCACTCCGGATTCAGTCATCTTATTGTCTCTTAAAAACAGAAACATGATGATCTAGTGTTAACTGTAACATATTCTTAGATCATTGACACAGACCGGTAAGCGAAGGTTGCAACTCATAATGTATATTATTTATGATTCATTGAGCTACCAGCTAAGTAATTAAGAAGAAGGAAATGCAAGTTCTGTGGTGTAAGCATTTCAAAAAATCTGTTTTTATGTACTGTTCTAAGTTATGAACATATATATTTGAAGATAGATGGACGGAGATATACATTTTGTCATAATATCCCAACTTACGCTAATCATTAAAGAAATATAATGTTCCTAATCTGTATATCTTACTAACGACTTCCATGCATCAATAATTTTGGGACATTTACTGGATTTGTTTCACAAATAATCTCACTTTTTGATTGAAAATATGAACTGATTAAAGCTAGACCACAACTGAAGACCCAAAGTTACTGCTGATTCATCCTAGTATAGGACTCCTCAGCAGTGTAGATCCATGGTCTCGCAGGCGGAAATCGAACCAAGGACAATCGGTCTCACAATCGGATGCTTTACTTTTAGAACATTGTGTTAATATCTATCGTCAAGCAATTCACAATACTGAGCAACCATGTTCATTTATTTTCGGTGAGTAACTCACTCATAACCGAAACATTTTAGCTTCGCTCATCACTCTTTACACTATTTTGGGAAATGAAACATTCTTTTAGATAAATTACGTACCAACAATATTTTCAGTTTTGTGTCTGTGTATTTTAATTTTCAAATTTCTTATTCCGAGTTATTCGCTTTTATTCAATAGACTTTTATAACTTTGTTGTAACTCAATATACTGTACACTGATTCAAAAAAGTTTTTTAGTCAGAACAAGGAATTATACTTTGAGTTTCTCCTAAGTTTTGATCAACATTAGCAAAGTTGTTCATAACTAAAATCCCAAACAAAAAGCTTTCTCAACTATATTACAGAACAGATTGCTTGTTTTAACCAAAGATATATTTATTGTACACTATCAATATTGACGGTAATAAATGTTTGCAAGAGATTATTGACTAATCCATTGCTTCGCAATTCAGATATTACTAAAGTATAAAATATGGAATCAGCTCATAAAATCATGGATTAATTTGAAATATCTCATTCCTGGCTGATAACAGAGATTAGAACGAAATTCCTTATCTATCAGCTGCTTCCGCTAAGTAAAAACAACTCATCAACTGTAATTTCTCTGGCATTTCAATAAAAAAAGTCAAGGAAACATTTTAAACAAGATCCAAGTTTTTAAAAACATGCTTCTATAACTGTTTATACAGTAACAACAATGAAGCTGGAAAAAAGTAACAAAATAATACATCAAAAGAGAAAGTAATCAGTTGCAGAATAACAATGATCATTGTAATAATTATAAAATATATGTGATCATTTACCTGGTTACTATAAACCATTAAGAGAATACAAAAAGTAGGTTAATTAAATCCTTACTGGTGCTATCAAACTGAAAATTCATAACAGAAAAAAATATATCAGAATAGTAAGTTGACTTGAACTTTATCAAAATGGCTTCAATGTACTACTAATTTATCTTTCTTCTAATCTACTATTTGATTATATAACAATTTATCCAATTTGTTCATCATATTAATTCACATTTTTTTGTTATTGAATATACCCTTATTTTTGTTTAATATAAAATGTGACAATGTAAATAAATTCATAAACCATATCTTCTATGGTGAACTGATTAAAACAATTGTCCATACAGTGTTTGTTTCATTTCATAAATCAATAAAAAAACAACTGTAATTTCACAAATGGATATGCTACACTCATTCGAATAAAAATATTTTAAGAGATACTATTGATCATATAATCTTTATTTATAACTAGGAAAAAAATAATCAATGGTAAATTAAATGATTACTGATCACGAAAAATATTCAAATGTCAACTGACTAATAATCATAAATGGCAAACAAATTCTGAAAATATTTCTATGGAACAATCAAAATATTTTTCAAATATTCGTTTTTTTTTCTCTTTTTTTTTTCTATGAGGGAAAAAAAGCGTACTCATTCCATGTCATTATTGTAAACTGTGGCATTCAATAAGAACCATTTATAAATTAACTAAACTTCAATAAAATGAAGTTTCTTTGTTTTTCTTTTTTAGAAAAAAAAGTTGAGAAATATAATTAAACTCTTTAGTTTCTTCAATAGTTTTAAATAAAATCAGTCTAATACAAATGAAGTTAATATTATTTATAAGATTGTGAAAAGACATTAATATTAGTTATTCACTACAGGAATATGTTAATCTCTCATAGGAAAAATTAGACAGATTTCATCAATATTAGAAATTTTGTTTGATTAGTCAAACTTATAAATGGATTATCAATGTGTTTATAGTTATAAAATAAAACTTGCTATAAACTGAAATTTCAAATATTGTGAGAGTTGACATCCAACTTAAAATTTGTTAGGTCCAGATAAACATAATGAGTGGTAACTTTTGGATCCTTTTATGTACCAATACTAAATGTATATTTTTATCGTATAATTGTTAAATAACTAAGCTATTCATATTCATGTTCCTCTTATTATAAGTCTTATTTTGATCTATGAACCATTATTGTACGTTTTACCATTCTTGAATTATGCCCTGTCTATTAGTCACTGCCTCACACATTCATAGTCACGTTTGATCCATAACAAGAATAAAAACTATTATTTAAGTTTCAACTAAGTTCGCATAGTGCTCAGATGTTTGTACCAAATATCAATATATAATAACCAATATTTCTTTGTTTAGTTAGTGGTTTTATTCAGATATCATCTATCAAGTGGCATTGTAATCATTAATTTGAGAAAATGTTTTAACTATTATGAATGAGATATCAATTATACATTTCAGACCTGTAACAAAAATGGAAAAATGAAATGTGCAGCTCATACCGAAGCAGGTGATTTATTTAGGGAGCTATTACCCGAGCGTTTCGGGCAGATGTCCCATTTACAACTCAGTGAGGTTCGACCAGAAGATGCTATTCCATGGTACCCAGTGATCAATAATAAGTTTATATCATACTATATCTCTCAGAATAATACAGCCTATATTGAATTTCAGTTCAAGTATGTTGATGACAATTCACATTTTGAAACACGGATTTCGGTAGCCTGTACACGTGTTACGAATATCGTTCCAGTAATCGCCATATCGTAGATTTATCCACGATGCTGAGACGGGGTGAAAAAAAAGAGACTAAGTCAGTTTATAACATGGTGCCTAGGTATAAAATAACGCTTTATAGAGTTGTCATCTTACCAAACATGACTCATAACGAGAGCCAGTTGTCGTTTTTTTATATTCTTCATTGTAGTGAGAGAATGTTCTGTAACTAAACGTTTTTCTCACGTGGTTTTTTTTAATGATTCGCTCCTTCCAATACAAGTATTTCTCATTTACTCATTTCTGTTCATTGAGTCATTTGTTTACACTCCATCCACTGGCTCTATCTGTCAACAACCCCATCTTCCTACCTGTGTGATGCATGTTTGTCTCGGTCACCACATGCATACCAATATTTATGAGTTTAAATGTAGTGAAATAAACCGTAAATAACCATTTGGTTCACCTGCTACATTCGAATGAACTAGGTGTTTCAATTTTCGATGGATGCAACCTTATTTCGAAGATACTGAAATTAGTAATTACTATTATAGAATAAATAGCTTAATGTTATCGCTTTTTAGTTTATTTGAGAGTAACTGATAAATTCAAGTAAACTTTAACAAAGTTTCAATGTAAATTCCTTTGACATATAAACGTTTACGATAAAGTTTACAAAACAGTTACTCACAATAATAAATAAATATGATTACATGTATTAGTTTCTGACAAACATATAACTTCTGTGATTTCATCAGTCAACATACATAAAATTAGATGTGAAATCAACATTTTAAAGATGAACACAATGAATTACTAGTGAACAATAAGTTTTATGCGTTCTGGACTTCGTGTGATTTGTAAATTGACGAACGACGAAATCAATTTTGCATTATTTATACAATTTATTCTCAACCTTCTAAAAACACTTTAGTATCATTAAACATGAAGAAAAATATTCACAGTACATTGCTGAATATTTAATTGTTAACCTATTTGTATCAGTCATCATTGACAAGTAAGTAGATTTTAACTGTTTATAGAAAATATAATTAGTAAAATGAAAATGTTCAATTTAATTCTACAAAATGATTGAAATGTGGTGTGTGGTACTTATATTGACATAAGTAGTATATGATGTTAGTCGTAAACAGAGATCAAGCAGTAAAGAATAGAAACAAAATGCAATTTGTATGAAAATGCAAGAACAATTAAGTCTGAGTCATTTTTAGACAATTGGTGGACATTTTGCAAATTAAGCATTAACTTTATGATTGTTAGATCTTATTAACAAGTCCTGTAGTTTTGTGTTAAATAAATTCGATTGTCCCCCTTCCCAAAAAAGTGTAGCGAACAAGAACACCAGTGGAGATAAGTTCAATAGATATGCTACATTATGTAGGTATAGTATAATTAATTTAAAGAATATATATATTTATTTAAAGCATAGTTAAAATAATATAATTCGATATGTTATTCTCTTCTACTCAATTTTATTTTATGGGATATATACATTTAAGTATTGATTAGGAATTCAAATAAGCATATGTAAATTTCGTTTCTAGATTACTTTGTTGTTATTACTGCTATGTGGTTATTCATTAACGTCATTATTTTTTTTAACAATTATTTCAAAAATGAGTAAATAAAATTAGCTTCCTATCCCCGTTTCTTCTAATCGCCCACCATAACAAAACACTCACCTCTACGCATAAGCACATGTACAGAGAAAAGAAATAAACACTTCCCTTTAAAACAAGAATTAAATTTCATTCTATAGATAATTTCGATTGAATATATCAATGTTCATTAACTGTATATTCGCCTATCCTGGCCTTTGCTTTTAATTGTTCATGTTTACTTATTAGTTAGCTGACTAGTTGGATTATCTGCTTGCTTGCTTATTACCTCATGACTTGTAAATCGTATCATGTATAAATCAGGAAACTAATGAGATAAGAAAATTTCCTACAGATAAGTATAATTTTAAGAACATGATTACAATATGTAAATCTGTCATGAGAAAGTTAACAGTCTAACTCATCAGTATAAATAAATGTAGCTCTATGAACGCATATATATATATATATATATATATATATATATATATATATATATATATATATATATATATATATATATATATATAATCTCGGTATGTATCTGTGTTTGTAAGTATGTCAAAGCGATCATGATAACAATAATCATTCCGACTGTTTTCATTTCCCTCGAATTTTATTTCAAGATAGTTTATTATATATATATATTACAGTCGCTACTATTATTTGTATTATTGATGGCAATCGTGTAGAGCATAATTTTATTTGGAGAGAAGATCGTGTTGAAATAATGAAAATGAGAGGAAACAAAGAAATCTCAGCAAATGAAATAATGGTTCTTAACAGTTTCTACTCTTCAAATATTCAGTCACTCAATCTCTTTTCTTTTCTTTATATGTATATATATTTATATGAACATTCTTTAAAATTGGACGAAATTTATTGAAATTTGCACAAAAACATTTCATCCCTTGATGAGTTGTTGTTGTTGTTGTTATCGGTGCTGTCGTCGTTGTCGTTGTTATATTTTCATATTTCATTAATAGTAATCAAAGTAGATAAGAAAAAAGAGAACGATTTGAAACAAACAAATCAATGATAGGAAATAAAAAAATAAATAATTAGGATTTCTGTATAAGAATTTATTATCAAAGAATACTCAATTATTTTGATAACATTCAGCAGGATACTACTGAATATGATATATATATAAAGCTCTGTTGGTTTCATATGTATCAATTAAACTGTTCATTACATTAAAATGAAAGCTGATCATCATAACTGTTAGAAAAAGTAGAAAGTTCAATAAGATTTTTTTCTTCAATGAATTTGCGAAAATGAAATGAATCAGATTATTTGGTTGAGAATATTTTCTGTAGAAAAAAGAATCAGTAATGAGTATATTTTTAAAAAAATCCAAAGAAATGAATCCTTAGTGTTGTAAATCCACACTACTATTATGGATAGGATATGAGCAATTTAAATGTTGTGTAAAACATATGATAATTGAGTCACTGAAGTGAAATTTGTTAGTTCATATTTTTAACCTGTTTTAAATTAAAAGCATAGAATAATAGAAAACTTATCCAATTAGTATGTTAATATATTTTGGTGTGTGCTGGTGATGTCGATAAATGTAAGTAGTATGTATCATTAATCAAAGGTGAAATGTCTGACGGCAGAAGGTTAAGAAGATCATAGAAAAGTAGACGAGACTAAAGAAGGATTGCTGTGAAAAGGAAGGAACAGTGAAGTCTGAGACGATTGATCAATATTTACAAAATGAACAGTCAAGTTTGAGGCATTTGATTGACATTCTGCAAATTAAGTATTTGCTGTATTGTTCTCAGATTTTACTTAGAAGTTTTGTAAATTTGTTTGTAAATTCGATTGCCCCCACTGTGTTCTCCTTCACTACAGTATCAGTTTAAATTTACTTGATGTAAAGTACAAAAGCTTTACAGTAATCTTTTACAAAATTCACTGGCAAGCTAATTATTATCAAGCGTTGTGGTAAAATCTGAACTTAAAACATCATTCCAATACTGTCTTGATTTACAATAATTTCCCAACTAATCTTTATCTTTAGTGTAAACTATTTTCAACTTCAACTAGTTACAAATTGCTTCCCTTAACTATCTAAACAGTGATATTCATAACTTGGATAAAAAAAGAGAATTCATAGAAGAAAATTTTCTTTTCGACGAAGTCATTTACTTAAGCTGTACATTCATATATATGGTGATATGGAAAATATACAGAAAATGTATAGCTTAAGTAAATGATTTCGTCGAAAAGAAAATTTTCTTCGCTGAATTCTTTTTATTTATAATTTGATTAAGAAATCAAAATAGTTTACCTCAATAGAATTATTCATTTTAAATGAAAAAACGGGTCATCATTGGTGAATGAACAGACTTTAAAAGGCATAAAAATTAGGAATTAATTGATTTCGTCAATAATTATCTTCAATTCATTTTAGTTGTTGAAAAGTATTCTATTATTATTATTATTATTATTAATAATGGATTTAAGCACTAAGTTGATAGGAATAATAACTTATTTTCAATTTGTTTTTTTTTTCTTATTTCCCATCACCTTAACCCCCGAACCCCGGCCAGTTTGTTGCTCATCCAAACTGTCAACAATATCTTACTAGTATATGGTATGGATCAGAAACAGCTTTTCTTCAATCATGGTCATTAATTAGGAAAATTGGTCTTTCCATAGCTGCTACACCGTTGCTTCCATTATTCTGTTTAATATACATTATACTGCCTACCTCGAATGTACGTGATAAACTGCTGATTTTCAATTTTCATTTAATGTTATTTTCCCTCCAAAATTTATATTATAAATTGATTTTAGTTCGGCAACCATTGAACATAACCGAATATTGGATTCCTGTTTCATTCCAGTATAGAACTCCTTGGTAGCAGAGTGCATGACCTTTAGACCACCGAGTGAACACCAAATAGTGTACATTTTTAACCTCGGCTAATTCGCGATATTGTGAGACCGGTGTTTGATGTCATTAGTGTTTAAATTACTCATAGTTGGCATTGCTGAATCCTCGAGTTACGGCTTATAACTGAAACATCTGTTAAAATTAACCTCTAAAGAGAACGTGATTTGGGTCCCTATAGAGGGTTTATTGAGATTTATTGAGTTCATAAAATGGACCAGTACTTAATACCCGTCACGTGGTCATTTATTTTAGTACCCAAGTGTATGGTAGAGAGGAGGTAGTGAAACAACCACAACGAATTTAAAACAGTTGTCAATCATACAAGTTACAGAGTTGGGCTATCTGGACTATCTATCCTAGCTACCATGTCTGATATTACTCACATTTCACACTATTATCGTACATACAAATTACACATTACAAATTTACATACATGTCGCTTATAAATCACCTTGACTGAAGTGACATAACATTGACTTGTTCAGACCTGTTTTCTGATTGACCGCACATGATATTCTTGTGTTGTTCCTTTGTATTATTCAAACTTGGCTTACACTGAGTCACGAAACGTCAGAAAATCTAATTTCTCTATTATTGGGATGATACAAGTATATTAATTAATTGATTAATATAGAAATGGGTTTTTGCTGCTCACTCTGTATGACATAGTACATAAGTAATTGATTTCAAATTTTTTACTAAAAGCCATTTGTTCAATTATTGGCTCATCCCTACTGTTTTATGTATATATATTCAAAATATTTCAAATATTTCATTGAAAAATATTCAACTGAAACGTAAACGTATCTTTTGACTATGTACATTGAAACACGAACAAATGCAAAATAGACAATGAAAGTCAATCTATTTAGATATTATTTGGAAATAAGCAATGTCGATTATAAAGGCCAATCTTTTTAAGCTAATCAAAAATCTATCCTTAGCTTTTCTTAGTATTGTTTGGTTTTAAAAAAAAATTCATTAATTATACTGGCGAACAAAATACACGAAATCATTTCAAAGCCGATATTTTACAATGATAATCATGATAATCAGGAAAATATTCTGATAGATTTATAAAGTTCATTTATTCCAGGTTAAACATGTAAATATCTGTGCATTCAATTCGCTTCATCATTTTATTGATAGACACTCAGGTGATTTATACATAAAATTCTCAAATGGTTCTTAATATATCGAACGTACCATAATTAGGATTTAAACAACATGGTTTCTTACTACAAAGAGTAGAATGTCATGTTTTTGAATGAATAGCATAGCAAAACATGGTTTCAGTATCGTCACAGTAAACTTATAGTCATCCAAAACTTGAAGGGAATCGACAAAAAAGAGAACAAAGAAAAACAAGAAAGGCTTACTGTATTTGGTCAGTCATCACATATGTGCTTGATGGTTTAATGACGTATTCATTTAGATATATTTTATTTGAATAAATCCCTTGTTCTGTATGAATTCTCACAATAATGAAGTGAATGATGGACTTTGACATTGATTAGGAACAGCGTAAGTGATTCATATAACAAGTTCATAAAAAAAGTCAACAGATGGAAAATTTCAGTTTGTAGAAAAGTATAATAATAATTCTGAAATATAGACTTAGTTACATCGTTCAAAGTTATTGTAATTTCACTAGTGCACTGAGTTATAGCCTCTGGTGTAAGTATTTTTAGGACATCACCGAATGGAATTAAATTATCAATGACAGTGAATTCGTTTTACAGACAGATCGTAGTAAATCGTCTTAGATTTTCAAAAAAATTACCCGTAGATCATTACATATAGAGAGCCAAATCAGAATGAGAAAATTCTGATTTTAATATAAAGTTACGAATGTTACAACTGGACAATTCATAAAACCGAATTGCAATAATAAATGTAAAAATTAAATCATACACTACAGAATGTACATATTCCCAACTATTTTTCTCTTGTTTTATAAAAAACAGATTGCTCGTTCAATGCGATGTCCGGCAGCTAAATTTGCAACTCATGTTGTATCCCATTTTTTATTTTTAATATTACTCGCTGCAGCGACATTCCGTTTAGAAGAGAATTATGATGCATTATTAGACGAACAAATGCTTGGTACAGGGGATGAAGAAACAATACGACAATGGGTACAAAAAAACTTTCGACCATCTAAAGCAATTATAACACATGTCCAAATATGCATCGTATTGTGGGTAGCCGGTAAGTAACTGAACAGTCTTGTTTTCTTCTAAAAACAATATAACTTTTTTTACAATAAACTTGTGGCTAAATCACTACTAAACAACTTTAGTGGGGAAAATATTGGAAAAATAAGGAAAGATTTCTCAATAGTGCATATAGTGCATGAGATCGAACCAATAAGCTTCTGAGCTACTTATGTAGTAGCCAATCTTTAATGGTGGTCGAATTCTATCAATTAAGTTATAACATAACCAAGTCAAAAAGTAGACACCGATGGCGTTGTCTTGAATAATCATGAAAGCTTTTTAATCGAACCATCAACGAACGCAATGTTATCATAAACATCTATCTTAGTTTCATATCTTTTCCTATAGATGATACTAGAAACCTATGATTTTTAATAAATCACTATATTTCCCTGTTGTATAGTTCTACACGTTTGTTTGATAAAAAGAAATTTAATATTTACGGTAAAATTATACAAACTAAGGTTAAAAGTTATTATTTCATTACTTCACGTTCAGCTGTTCATCATACAACCAAATGTCTCGGGGTCCTTTACCAACTAGAATTATAAGTAGAAATGTGTGGTAACAAATTCCGTCAATTTAATTTTTCAAAACATCTAGTTAGTTTGATACGTGAGAGTAACTAAGGCAATAAAACACTCAAATGAATATTAAGTAGTTAGATAATACCAGCGTATTCACCGCTCTAAATACGTAAGTTTTTATCACAATTATATCACTTAGAGTTTGCACTTCTACTTTCTTTTTGTAAAATTATGCATACACTTACATACACTTTCAAAAACTCAAACAAAAGAGGAGTTAATTTAATAAATTAATGTCTTTTAAAGATTTTGCATTATTCTCTAAAATGCTTGTCTTCGATTACCGTTTTATAATGCTACAAAATATTAAACTTCAGTCTACCTGCCAATGTTCCTGGGTGTATTTTATTTTAATCTTTGTACTTCACCAAGGTATTCGGGTACTTAAATAATGTAAATCTACACATGTGTAAATATATCTAATCTGGATTTTTCTAGTGTCATTCAAATGTGTTGTCTACTTACTGAAAGTAAACACTTAAGTATGCTCGTATTAGATTAGAAATAATGACCATTACTGTATTGTAACAAAAGTAAAATTGCTTGGATTCGATCTTCTGATGGGGTCAAGGGTATTCATCACCCAAACAAGTATAAAGAGAGATATCTCTTAATTCCTGTTTTTTTCTAATATTAACCCGATTTGTTACAAATTTCACTTAAAAATAGGTGTTATTTAAATAACATTATTTGATTATTTTAATTTGATATATTTTAATGACTAATTGGTTAGCTAATTGACTTATTTACTTAATTGTATCTTTTAATGCATTATCGATATCATATTGTCTACCTGTTTTTTATTGTTTAATAGGACTACTACTTGCTGATATTAAACATATCTACTTTGCAGGATTCAGGTCTTATATATGTAATGCATATAATTTACTAAATTTTTGTATATTATCCATGTATATTGGTTCTTATACATTACGTATAATTGTTGACCGTTGGGTACGCGAATCAGATCTATTCTTTAATGCAACAACTCAAGTGAATTTTTTATTGCAAACAAACAATAGTATATTAGTACATCAAATGGTACAAAATTGGACACAGTCATGTCATCATGATAAAAGTTATTTTATTACCGCGTGTAAGATTTTTTCTCGTTTTAGTGTTTATTACAATTATGTTAACACTATTTTTATTTAGTTATCAGGATAAAAAATGTCTTATTTAGTATTTAATTGGATAATTATTTTTAAATTCACTTGGTGTTGTTTTACTTGTATCTTCCCATTTGTTATTTAGGACTCCAATCGATCAGTCTCATGTTGACATATGTGCATCCTGTGTGGATTGCATCAATATAACCTTAAGTCACAAGCTTTCTAAACAAAGATGGATAGTGGCTAGCCTTGGAATCCAGGTCATATAGATTATGAACTGATTTTACTTTGATCATCATTAAAAACTTGGAAGCACTAGACGACCGTTTCATTCTAATATGGGACTTCTCAATAACTCACATTTACAATTCAGCAACCGGGACTAGGACTCATAACCTTCAGTCTCGCAAACGAACACTTAACCTTCAAATCTCCAAACGGGAATTTAATTTTGTCTGATTTGAATTCATTCACAAGCAACTTCTATTGTCTTAGATGGATCGTTAATGAGCAATGCCGAAGAAATGGCTGTTCAGGGTTTTCAGGTTTCTGAATAGTAGTCTACCTTAGATCAGTTCATGACCTCAACTAAATCTACCGTTCTCTACATTCTTCATACTGACATCTATTTTCTAATACAATATTTCATTCATTTTACTGAATTACTCTTCCCTATTTTTTTGATTTATTATTAGCCCGATTTCGTTGGAAATATGATGATCCTGAAATTGTATCAGATGTTATGTTTGCAGTAGCTAATGTAGTTAGCTTTGCTCGCACCACGTATTTGATGCCAGCTTTTGAAGCACTAGGTCCATTACAAATTTCATTTACCAGAATGCTTACAGATATTACACGATTTATGGTTCTATATTTATTGGTATGTTAACAAATAGTCAAATCTTTTTAATCAATGATTTTACTTTTTTATTGATGAAGAGTAAAATTGGAAAAAATTCTACCAGTCTATGATTAAAATAATCAGCTTTAATTATGTTTTCATTTATTGAACAGAGTTTGCTATTACGGTAAAATATTATACATTCATAATTATACGATTTACTGTTTTAAATGGTTCAAATTATGAATGAATAATGGAAACCCAAATTAATAATACAAGATTCATCGGTGAGAGGATATTATGAGATAAACAACAGCTAGTATGCACGAACAGATTGATCTCAATTATAATACCACCATCAGGAATCGAACCCAGAACCTTGAAGTATCATGTTAAAGGCTTATTCATCTCAGTCTAGGTGGATCTTTGTATGTACACTGCTTGGGCGTCCAGTATTAGGGGAAAAAATGAACCCAGTGATCCTTGATTTTCAATGGTATCTCAGTTAAAATCAATTTCTGGTGAATATAGCCTAAAACCTAAACGAATCTCCACAAAATCGCCTTAACTAAAAGAAATATGCACAACATATTTTGAATATATGCGTAAATCCAACGAAATGCTGTTCGAAAAATGAACAATTTTAATACACGGTTTTACGATCGATCATTTAATAGATAATTACGACAAGATTATACAAATATTCTCTGTAATTTGTCATAAATTGAGTGTAGTATATTCAAACTGTTTTTCAAATTAAAAACAGGGAATACTGATTTTACAATTCTCAAATTCTAATTTCAGAGGGCATAATGTTCTTAAAATAAAACTTCGTACTTCTACACTCCAGTCTAACACATAAACATTACATTATACTTCTATTATGTCGCTAAATATTTTGTTAAACTAGTAGAAAAGCATGTTAAGGATTACACAAATATATGTACGCTTTTAAAGATGTTTCTATGATTATGGAACATCTCACTGAAAAAATTATGAAGTTATTGAACATAGATTCAGTTTATTAGTTAGTGAGACAATGGGGTAGATAATTGTAAGCTAAAAAGTACTATACATGTCTGTTTTAATTTATTATATCCTTAAGTCGTTCTTATAACATATATAACTAATGGTACAACAGCTACTACTAATGTTCTTTGTATAGGTATTTAGAACATGATACCTCATACTTCAATCACTTCATCGTCAACAGATTATGATCTGAGCGCTTGGAATATTGATTTGACTTCTTATAACTGTTTTGCAACAATAAAACTACCATTAATGAGGGTTCACTAAACTTTCACTATCCTGATTATAATGTATTCATTAGGATTGGGTTGGATTATCTGTTGAATGGCCGCTTGTAAACATGCTATTTCATTTTTGAAATACAGTATTTATCATATTTGGTTAACCATAATCTCAATTAGTATTTAATAATCAAATATCTTGAATATACGGTTATAACTTGACAAAGTAATATGAACACTTAAAAATGTATTACGTCAACAAATGAAGTTTCTTGAAATCACTCAACTTCTGGTTTCAGTATATCTTTTCCCGTCAATTTTATGACAGTGAACGACTAAAGAGTCCCATTTTCCGAAAAATACATCTTCCTAGTGTTTTAATAAACATTTTATGACTAAAACGATCAAATATTGTTTATCAGGCTATTAAAGCATCACTTATAGTAAAAGTAAGTTTTCATTTATTATTAATCATATAAAATTCAAAACTCATGTTTCGTCCTGTATGTTATGAGAGTGTCCTACTACTAATCAGGATTGAATGACCGTGATAAAGCAGTATAAGGAATTAAAATTGTGATTGAAAGTTGATGGTTAGGCTTAGGAACTAGATATAAGGCCTTCATCACGGACTGATATAAGACAAAATACCAAAACGCTGTTTATACAAATGGATGAATGAATTTAACACTAAAACCCAAGACCTATAATCATATACCTGATTGATTCGTCCATGAATTATAGTCTCACCTCAAAGAGGAATAAGAGTTGACTCAGCCATAATTCATTGAATAACATATACATAACTCAAACAAGGAAAAGAAACTTATATATATATATATATATATATATATATATATATATATATATATATATATATATATATATCCCCGCCTGTGAATCTCCTGGGGTTAAGGCCAGTCCCAAGCCCGGGAAAAAGCAGGAAATCGGATGTAGGGTAGGCAACACGACACCGTAGAAAACAACCTTGTTAAAAAAACGTTAAACCGATTCAAAAAATCAAAAAATTTACACCCTGTTCTCCGAGTTGAAGGAAGAATTGGAATGCCTTGAGATGGAAGCCGAGAACCTTCGGAAGTAACGAATCTGATGTCCCTTCTAACAGCCAGAGCAACAATTAATATTTGTGAGAAGATAAAACTTGACGGTGCTCAGTATAAGTGAAACTCATTGGACCCAAGTTGAACAGAAGAGGTTAGATTTGGGAGAGATGCTGCTGTACTCCGGTCACGAAGAGGAAAATGCACCGCACACTCAAGGATTTGCTCTGATGTTGTCCAAATAATCACGAAATGCACTTATAGGATGGGAATCTCACGGATTCAGGATCATCAAAGCATCTTTTAAAACAAGGAAGGAAGGAATCACAATTTATGTTATTCAATGTTATGCACCCACCAATGATAGCAATGACGACGATAAAGATCAGTTTTACGAGAGGCTGCAATCAATCATAGCTAAGCGCCCAAGAAAGCACCTGACCATCCTTATGAGAGAATTAATCACTAAGGTCGGGGTGGACAACACCGGGAATGAAGATACACGGGATGACATGAACTGGGAGAGAGAAACGAAAATGATGGGAGATTTGCAAATCTATGTGTGTTGTGTCTTTATGACCCGCTAGTTATCACATAATCTATTCGCCAACCAAAATACGACTTATTCGCTCTTATACTGTACTAAACTAATAATGTCCGACCAGTCTGATCAGCCTAGCGTCCTCATGGTTCGTTGCTCACCTAGCCCTTCCAGGTGAGTCCAGAATGCCAACAACAGCCTCCATTAGACGAATCATTTATTTCAGACATACTGAGTTTATATACCAAACAGACAGACCACAACGGAGCATAAAATATGAAATAACATTTGTACACAATAAAGCCAAAAAGTGGCTGTGAACGTGGGAGGCAATAGTCAATAAACTGAACATAGCTTAAGAACAGTCAATCCTACAATAATTACATATAGATCAAAATAAAGCCTATAACAAGTTGAATATAGATATACATAATTTAGTTACTGAATATTTTTACCATAAGAACATAAAAAATATCAGTCCATTAATAGGTCTCAGACGTTACTCGTAATTTAATCTTCACTAGAATATAACTATGTGTACGCAACAAATTGGTTATAGGTGGCACAATATTCCCACACAAACGCATACACAAAGCTACATGGATCTCACCGGACCACACCACAGATAGATCACATTTTATCAATAAAACATTCAGAAGGACAGTGGAAGACGTGAGAATCAGGATAGGATCTGACATAGCTTCAGATCACCATCTGGTTGTGGCCAACGTGGAACTCGAGCTAAAAGAACACTGAGCAACTGGGGAAACAGCAGTAAAACGGTTCTATACAACCTCCCTTCAATATACTAACAAACTCGACAAATTCAAGATAACTCTCAACAACAGGTTACAAGCCGTACAAGATCTACTCAAAGAATGAGAAACTACTATGAAGAACAATTGAAAAGGGATTAAAGAAGCACCAACTTCACGTGTCAGAAGGTTCTGGGCCACAACAAACATAAGCATGAGGAACGGATCTGCATAGAAACCCTTCACAAGATTCAAGAAAGGAAGAACAAGAAGACGGTGATTAACAACAGACGAACAAGAGCAAAGGAAGTCGAGGCACAAACTGAATACACTGATGCAAATAAGCAAGTGAGGTGGAGCATTAGAACTGATAAGCAGAAATACGTGGAAAAGCTAGCAACGACAACGGAAACAGCTGCAAGAGAAGGAAATTTGAAGCAACTATATGACACTACGAAGAAGCTTGAAGGGAGACATAGAAAGCCAGACAGACCGATCAGGGACAAACAAGGCAAGTCAAGCACTGAGATTCAAGGACGGAGGAACAAGTGGATAGAACACTTTGAAGAACTCTGGAATGAACCATCCTAACTGAACACACCGAACACGGAAGCAGTACACACCGGTCTTCCTATAACTGGTACTCCACCAACGACGGAACAAATCAGGATGGTCATCAGACAAATCAAGAGCGAGAAAGCAGCAGGACCTGACAACATACCACCTAAAACACTGAAGTTAGATAATAAAAGCATATGCAAACATGCTCCAAAGAAAGTAGATCTGAGCAAATGTGAAACATGCAGGGGAATCACACTAACATCGGTACTAGGAAACGTTTTCAACAGAGTGTCGCTGAACCGGATGGGAAGGCGTTTGACAGTGTGGATATGAGAACATCATGGAAGCATCCTCGACACTATGGAGTACCTGAGAAAACCGTCAAAATCATCCGGGATTCATATGACGAACTACACTGCAATTCGGTGCATCGAGGACAAGTGACAGACCCTTTCCAAGTGAAGACCGGAATCAAACAAGGTTGACTACTCTAGCCCTTCCTTTTTCTTCTGCTGATCAACTGGATTATGGTGACCTCAAAGTCTGACGGGAAACACGGAATACAATGGACAGCTCGGAATCATCTGGACGATTCGGACTTCGTAAATGATCTGGCCCTTCCATCCCATACACATCTACAAATGCAGGTGAAGACAGCCAGTGTGGCAGAAGCCTCTGCATCTGTAGGCCTAAACATACACATGGGGAAAACCAAGGTCCTCAAATACAGCACACACAACACCAATCAAATAACACTTGATGAGGAAGCTGTGAAATCTTTCACGTACCTGAGAAGCATCATCGACGAACATGGAGGATCTGATGCAGTCGTAAAGACAAGGACTGGCAAAGTAAGCTCAGCATTCCTACAATTCAGGAGTATATGGGACTCAAAACGACTGTCAACCGATATCAAAGTCAGAATCTTCAATACGAACGTCAAGGCAGTTTTTCCAACCTAGTCCAACACCAGCAAACATCGCGTGTTGAGATGGACGGTAGTTGTGTAAATGTAATATGTTTCTCAACCACCTTAGCTGATGAATACCCACTACCACTTTAGTCAGTTCCCCACCTTGACCTTATACTTGCAACTTAATATTACTCACTCAATTAATTCAATATACTTGAGCAGCATCTGGTGGACATCCATATTCAAATATTGGTAACTTGCGATGATCCTTTATTTTTTAAGGATGCGAGTCACAACCATAAAATAGATGTCTTAATGTAAGGAATATACATATGTAATGAAACTGAAGGTATTCTTCATGAAACTACGTATCTAGATTTCTCACGAGTTGCCTGAATGACACAGGATCTATAATCAGTAGAGACTAACCGTGTCAAGAATGGAGCAATTACCTGACAGTGAGATTAGGTAATGGTTGAGAAATATTCTAAATACGATTAAATTCACTTGGTATTGTTTTGCTTGTATCTTCCCATTGAGGTTTAAGACTGCAAATGATCAGTCTGTTATTGGCATATATGCATACTGTGCGTATGCCTCGATATTGCCTTAATTCACAAGCTTTTATAAGCAAATATGGATAGTGTCTAGCAGTGGAATCCAGGATACGCGTTTCGTCCTATTTATGACTCGTCAGCTGGATATACCTGCATCTCAGAGTTGATGTTCACTCTGGGACTCGAACCTAGTACCCTTCGCTTAAAACGCCATCGCGTTATCCACGAGTCCAAAATAGGACGAAACGCGCGTCCTGGATTCCACTGCTAGCCACTATCCATCTTTGCTTATGAATACGTTTAAGTTAGAAATCTAAACCGTCGGGCACCAATTCAAAGAACTAATGGTTAATTACTCGTCATGTATTTTGAGGGTTTTGATTTCGATATTTGGTGAACTCATGGACACACTTATCTAAGTAGTCCTATTTTAGAACGAAACAACTGTCTAGTCTTTACTGGTTTTCATTGTTTGTTTAGCAACAGCCAGTTTGAGATACAAACTAAAAAGGTGTATCAAAATCTTGTCTTCAGTGCATTATTATTAAGTAAATAAATATGGTTATATTGATGTAGAATTTAATTAGTTAAATCAACTATTGTAGATTTTCAAAATATTCGTAAACAAGCAAGCATATGAGTATGCCTCAAAGTAACATTATTCATTATAGAGCTATGTTAACTTTTATGAAGGTTTGAATGAAAAGAAGAGGAATATTTCATTTATCACACAACTGTTAAAAATACTTTGTCCATGGTATACCAATAATTTTGATTTATAATCAATGTTCATTCAATTGTCATTGAATTCAGAAAGTCATAAAAATAAAGGACAAATTTACTGATCACCTGATACATTTTCTTTTTAAGATATTTACTGACTGAGTTTCAATGTTAAATAAAGTCATGCTTTTACTGATCGACATTCACAGTATTTATTGAAATTGACGAATGCTGAAAAATGTAAGAGTACTTAGTAAATTACCTATGTCCGTTCTGGAATTATCATTAATAAACTGTAATGATCAAGAATAGTTATTTTTGATTTGGCAAACTCATAAGAAACATTCAGTTAACTTAAGAAGCTAAACAATCTCTACAAACCAAAATACTTGTGATAGTGAATGAACTGAATAATGACTAACTTTGAGAGGTATTCACAAGAGCTCTAACACAACCAATGAAGTTCAACTTTGCCGGAGGTAAATCACATGTTACAGGTAATCGTAAGTGGCATTTGAACAAAAACGCGGATTAACTGAGGCTAGAAATGTAAACCATAAGATACTTGTCTAGCTGTCTTAAAGTTGAGCACTCTCCACGAGATCTGAAAGGCTTCGTTTCGATCTCAGGTAAGATCATGGCTTCACACTGTTAAGTCCCACACTAGACTTTCTAGTGGCAGCTGACTTTCAATGATTCCCTAGCTAAGAATATTCATTGACGTAAACTATCCTATATATATTTGATTTTTCAGTAAACATACGCATTTTTCTATTACATCAGGTGTTGTTTGCATTTATGGTTGGTCTGCATAACCTCTACTGGTATTACGGTTTACAAACATTTAAGACCTATGATGAGGTAACAAATACTACACAGACGCTAGTTGCAACAGAAATGTTCGAAGGGTAAGTTTTCCAGTAATATTTCAGGTGTTTTATTATAGTCTAAAACTTCCTGTAGTCTGATTGTTTAGAAGAGTAAAACAATAAGATGCTAGTTGTGGTAAAAATATCCCAGTTTTTGAGTTTATAACTGATATTCTATGACAAATCTGCAAGTCTCAATGAATGCTTAATTTCATTTAAGAGTCTATATAAACCTTGTTGATTAGAGCCAAATGACACAAACTTAAATAATTTAACTTTCTATCTATTCATGGAATGCGATAAAAAACTACGTAACTCATAAAATTCATGTACTTAAAATGAATTCACCGTACGTAGTATTCTTGACGGGGAACAATGCAACATCAAGAAATATATGGATCGGTAAAGAAATGCATGTACTTCCCGACACATAAATCTGCATAACACATCATATCATTCTAAATATGTTAACAACTTACTTTCAATTACCTATTTGCTTTTTACGAGTACCAATTAAAGCTATAAACCTTTTAACTTTATAAAAAGCACTATGTAATTTTCTGGGATCCACATAAATAAAAACACTTAATGTTATTTTTTCGTAAACTTTAAATGATCAAAAAACCATTAACTTTAAAACCATAAACTACATGGAATTCCTTAACATTTTGAAAGTAAATATAAAATCATGACGTAATTAAGAATTACAGCAATTTACACATCAATAAAGAATAAGGATTATTAACTAATGCATTCCAATCTAATGCTTTTTAATGGTAGTATATTTAAAAGAAAGTGTAGATTATTTTCACATATTTCTAACTATTTCCGTACGTTTCTATAAATAGACGTCAGGAGTTCCAGACATTGGTGAATTAATACCAGCCCAAGATTAGAACAAACTGTTTTTTTGTAAACACAAATGAAAGTTTGAATTTTCTAATAACTAAGGTCTCTTTAAACTTGTGAATATACCCAAGGTAATTGTTACAGAACACTTTAAAATTTGTTTTGAAATCAATTCTATGATAGCTTTTAAAACGTATAGATATTAAGTTTATCAGAGTCTCGGGCATTATGAAACTCAAACCCTCTATATATTTACAAAAAAATTTCATTTCAACCATAAATCTGCCCGTATAGTCCAATGTACAGAGCGAATACATCAAATTTTCAGACCAACTCTATCTTCTCATCATACTAAGCTTAACACTATTTCAATTTTGTATAAATCCTATTTAATCATTTGCCCAAAAGTTATTATTTACTTTCTTTAATGTTGAATGGTCATATACAAGAAATAACACTGATACATATATCTGTACATATTACAGCCTCAGTCAACAATAAGAATGTTATTTGGATGATATAGCTTATCGATATATTAACTTGAAACGATTTATTTCCTTAAACAGATGTTGTACTTTATCCAATGTGATGTGATTACCTGGGTATGTTTTTATTAGACGCTATACGTATACTATTAATTACTTCAATAAAATAGGTGTTCACTGCTATCACATTTAAAAAAAACGGTTTAAAATGTCATAATTTGATTCGCTAGAAGTAACAATAATTGCTGTTAACTTGCTGAAATTTACTGACTAATTTAATATTTAGATTGCATTCTCTTTACTATTTTTTAAAAAGTGTCAAATAATCAAAGCTACTTTAAACTGATTATGGAAAACTAATGTAAGATAATAATGTTTGTGAATAAAAATGACTTAATTCCCTATGGTTAATATTCAGGATTACAACTGAGTAGCTTTATGTACATGTATATTCTGCTGATTCATCTTAAGTAGGACGAACCACATGTCCTGTATTCAACCGGTATCCACATACCAAATATATCAGTAATGGTTATTATTTGACAAAACGGTTTTCAAGTTCTCGGAATGATTAGTGTGTAATAATGTTCTTCCGCAATTGAATAGATCACATTACAAATGTTATACTATGAGATTCTAATTAGAAATAATTTTGATCATTAACTAATATCCATTTGAGAACTATTTGAACATTGAACCATATGTTTTGTCCGTTTTCGAAACGTCTCAGTAGTCTACAACCAAAAATTCATGGATTTCAAGACTAGGGTAGTTCACTGATTCAGCTAATTTAAAAAAATCAATGTTACGATATTGTATCTCAATATCTGAACTCTTCGACTTCCAACCTAAAATATAGTCATCAATTATATCGGTTCACCAAAAATACCTTATTAAAGAAGTCATATCGTAGTAAATCAAACATTCATAGTTGATGAGGAATTGGTAAATTGTAGACTAACATGGTAATCTAAAATTTTATTCTTAATTTATATTCAAAATTAAATTTATTTTTGAAAGTCTTTCGATAAATCAGTTCCAATCTCATTGTCCTAAATTAATTGATCAAGGAAATCAATAATTAATTTTTTTCAACTAAATGAATGACGAAAAATATATGAGCAATCATTAGATGATATATTCTATAATAGTGCTGTTTCGTTCTCTGAGCTGGTTGGTTTATCCGTAAATTTTTCATTATTTTTCTCGACAACAACATCAGCAACAGCACACACTTCATACCTCATGATTAAACCATCCAGCTCGGAGAATGAAACACTCAAAATCCTCATCCTCAGATACATACACTCTTCATTGTCTTTTTAAAATTCACTTATAATGTGAAACATTTTAAAAACACCATTTCTAACTGTTATAGTTCTTTTACGTTTTATTTATCTATGTTACACTTGTTAATACATTTTATAGTAGTATTGTTGAACTTGTTTTTCTAGATCTTTCATATAAATCTAGTAGGCTTACATTTTTTAAAAAAACTATTATTTTTCAAAATAAATTATTAAAAATCTAAGCTGCCACCATTAATTACCTTTCTTTTTCTCATTTTCACTCATCTATTTTTGCAGACTTCGTCATACACTGTACAGTTTATTCTGGTCAATGTTTAGTCAAGTCAGTATTAGTAAATTACCGATTCGCAAACCAGGTAAGTTATTTTTTATTAACAATAATTCATTGGATTTAAACGTTTACATCCATATAAATTGTTCTTTTCGAAACTTGACACTCTTAATAATTATTCTTAGAATGAAAATGTATGGGTTTCCGGTTGGTTGAGAAAGATTTAACAACACTATCTTATAAGTATTGGTAGCGATATGATGTTATTAGTGTATTAACCACTTGTCATCACCAATTGATAAAACGAACAAAAATGAGGCTTGATAATATATATATATATATATATATATATATATATATATATATATATATAGATAGATAGATAGATAGATAGATAGATAGATAGATAGATAGATACACTTTGGGGCCCTCAACGTACGGACCCTATGTCACATCAGCCAGCAGGCCTCCTTGGCTAAAACCCTAAAATCTCGTACCATTGATGTATGCTGTGTCTCCAAAACACACACAGGATCTTAGTGTGGTCATTCTCTTGGCCTCACCTTGCCGAAACGGAGAACCGACGAGATGCATTCTCCGTGTATCTGGCGACCCAATGGCTAGTTCTTGTGGACTGGCGGGTGTAGGCATAGCACTGGGTACGAGGGAAGAACAAGCACTATTAGAATGGATCCCTGTTAATAGTCACCTATGTGCTGTTCGGGTAAAAGGCTCCGTAAGAACTTGGAAGGATAGGGACACACATCGTTGCCTTTTCGTCATTCCTGCATGCGATCTCATTGACTGCAGCCCGGATGAAATGAAAGATGACTTCCAGAAAGCTTTCCATACTTCTTCATAAAGCTAAACACTCAGACATAGTACTCGTGGCAGGTGACTTTAATGCCCAAGTAGGTAGCTTAAATCAAACATAAAGAAATTCAGGTGGGCATTTCAGAATCCCGGCTCAGCGAACAGATATTGGTTATAGTCTTCTGCAACGGTGATCAGATAACCGTTTATTTTTAGCAAGCTATAATTTCAAGCATAAGGAGAGACGTCGTCTAACATGGCGATCACCTGCACCAAACCAACGATAGATTCAAATAGACCATAATGCCATCAGTTATCGTTGGAGAGACTCGATAGAAGACTGCCGCTCGTTCTGGAGTACATATTTAGACTCCGGTTATTATCTAATAATAGCATGCATTCGTTTGAGCCTCAGTGGATGCAGAAAATCCACATTAAGAAGACCCATTAGAGTTGAACTCAGTGGCTAGAAAGCCAAAGTGGATTCCAGGAACAGCTGAGGTCACATGTAATTCTGAAAACGAGACTGACCCAGATGTTGCTTGGAATGATATACGAATAGCTGAGGAAATGGCAACGGCATATATTAGTGATTTGAACCAAAAGGTCACGAAAAACATATGGATTCCTACTTAGTCTGTTGCACTGATAGATTCTCGTAAACTTATCCCCCCAGGCTCTGATCACGATGAAGTGCGTAAACAAATTAGGTGTAAGTTAACCAAAAATCTGAGGAACGACCATGAGCAGTGGTGGGCAATGAAAGCAAAAGAGATGGAAAAGGCAGCGGCTCTAGATAACATCAGACAGCTTATTAGACTAATAAAACAAACTGGAGTTAAGAAGTCTAGTGTGAGACGATCTCAGAGAAAGACGACACTCTTGTTTGCTCTCAGCCCAGACGTTTAGACCGACAGGCCGAACACTTTAAGGAGAAGTTCAGCTGGCCTTCAGCTACTCTAAAACTACCTGCTATCTCCAAACAGCCTGAATGGAACACTGAAGTAGGCCCCTTGATCCCAGTTGAAGTTCAAGAAGCCATGGCTAATTTGAAGTCGAGGAAGAGTAGCTGGTTCAGATGGATTGGTTCCAGAGGTCTCTGGGCATGGTTGTCCTGTTTTAGCTATTAGGTTGACTAATATTTGAGTTAAAATCTGGGAGTTGGACGTAATCCCATCTGACTGGTCGCAATCACTGATTGTCCCAATATATAAGAAACGGCCAAAATCACCCTGTAATATCCATAAAGGGATTAGCTTGAGTAACATAGCACCTAAAATCTTAAGCAGGATGTTTGGGATGCGTTTCTCCTCCTCTAAATGCAAGTTGTTGCTTCAGCACTGGCCGGCGTCAATAGCTGAACTGAGGATAAAGAGTGAAGCCTGATCAGCTCTAATTGATTGGTGTCTGACGAAATATCTGCACGGATTCAGAAAGCTGTTTTGGCTTTTGCCAACTTACGTCACCTATGGCGAAGGCAAAATATCCGTCTATCAATAAAGGAACGAGTATACTGTGCAGCAGTTCGTTCTGTTCTACATTACGGCCGAGGAACATGGCTATTAAGAGTGGAAGATAATCGTAAGCTACTAGTATTTGATCACAGTTGTCTTAGAAATATTGCTCGCATCTGTTGGGATCACTGGGTAAGTAATAAGAAGGTTAGACTCAGGATATTAGTGAATGATGGTAAATCAGTTGATGAGGTCGTAAATCTTCATCGACTGAGTTTATTGGGTTATGTGTTACGTATGCCTGAACACCGATTACCACGACGCTCACTGCTGATTAGTGTTTGGGGTGGTTGGAAGAAAGTTAGGGGCGGCCAAACCAAAACGTGACATCAGTCCTTCAAGTCACTAACGTCTGCTCAGAACCACGTTGGTAGATGTAAACTACTAGGTTGGTGTCTGCGCGACTACCATAAGCAATGAGTGGAGACTTAGTGACATGGTTCAGAATCGATCACAATGGAGTAGGAGTATACACACTTTGTCTGTTTTTAAATAATGAGATTAAAAGTGCTTTATATCTTTCTTTCTAAGAACTAATTCTCTCTTCCTGTATTATATCCTGATATACAATCTTTCTTTTATATATTACTACTATTGAAGTAACTACTTCTATGAATTTGGTGTTCATCTTGTTGTGCTAATGAGGTGTGGCAACTTGGACTGATGCATATATGTGCCTGATCCTACGTTGTAGCTGACTGACTGACTGACATCATCCAATTAATATACTGTCAGTTTACTGTTGTTAAGTGTTACATCTTGGACATACATCTATAAGTTCAAGGTCCTACACTATTTATAATTTAACAACTATTATATATTGATATATATTGAGTAAAACTACAATCATACCTTCGATACAACTCTTAGTTGACAACATTCGATGTCTAATTCCTTTAAAACAATAAACGATGATGACAAATGACCAACATTAAGTACAATCATTTAAACCTTTTTAGTCTGATATACCCTTCTAAGAGTCACTCTGAATTTAACTGTATTCATCAAATGACTAAATTTATCCAAAATTCACTAATAGCTTAATTAGAATATCGAATTTATAGTTAATTAGAACTCATGACAAGATAGGTAAATATTTCTCGTATTAATTCAGTATAGGCTTTGTTCAATATAACAAGTGTGAATGTTAGTTCAGTTTGATAATTATATTCCCTGTTAAATAAAATAACCCATAGTGTCATTAAATAAGAAAAAGAGAATTCAGCGAAGAAAATTTTCTGTTTGACGAGATAATTTACTTCGTATATATAGTTTTATGGGAAATATATGTCTATAGAAGGGCAGAAAAGACTGCATCATAAATTGATTCGAGACTAAATAACAAATGAGGTTGCGTACTAATCAAGGGGTAAGGAAGAAAATAATTTATGGGTCAGATAATTGTCCAATCGACAGATATAAATAAAAACGACGAACATAAAGGTCATAATAATAACTTATTAAAGTTTAAAATTGCAAAACAATAATTTAAAAAATTCAATAATGATCAAATAAAAGTGAAGAAGAAGAAGAAGAAAGTAAAAAACCCGAAACACCAGTTAAGGGAATTCGGGCCAAGAATGGATGATAGGTTGGACGAATTGTTTCTGTACGCAAAGTTCGGGCTTGAGTTCGTGGATTGCCTATGTCTCAACAGTGCATAGACTATTGATTCGATATCCCTTCTAACCAATTCCTTTGACTGTGTAGGTTACTTTGCAGCGATGTGTCCACAATTGATGCTCCTGTATAAAACTAGTAATTGTCTTTCGTTCTCCTTTTAAAAGCCATGCCGGATAGTGTTCTGAGATGCGTTTGGAAAGTGGTCGCTTTATGCGGCCAATGTAACCTGCTCCATCTGAGCAAGAAAATTTATAGATGCACATTGATGTAGCCCAAAGTGGGAGTCTATCCTTAACACATCCATGAATAGTAGGTCGGGCTGTGTAGAACGTTTTATTCAATGATTTAGAAAGTTGTTTATCTGACCCATAAAACATTTTATTCCTTGCCCCTTGATTAGTACGTAACCTCATTTGTTATTTAGTCTCGAATCAATTTATGGTGCAATATTTTCTATCCTCCTATAGATATATATTTTTCATATAACTATATATAAGAATGTACAGCTTAAGTAAATGATTTCGTCGAAAAGAAAAGTTTCTTCGCTGAATTCTCCTTTTTTTTATATTCCCCGTATCAATCCAGGTGAGCTATATCAATGAAGTGTGTTTAAAATTTAGTACAAAAATGAATGTATTTCAACATACTTACGTGATTTTGAAATTTGTTTGGGAAAGTGTTTTTAGAGAGCCAATAAATCTGCATTGCACCAATTTTCATATTATTACTTTGTGTCATGGGAATTACAATGGTTTCCTTTCGAATTTATAAACAGTAAGATCGAAGAATTGTAGTGGTTCCCATTCGTTAAGTATAAACGAATAGACTACAGATTCAACTGAGTCAATTCGTACATCACAACAGCGTACCCTCTGACATAACAGAAATGACCTATCTTCTGACAAAATAGTTACTATAAACCATAAATATTCTTAAAACTCTGTCTACTAATTTGTTTGTCAAAAATATTTGTATATCATATATGTAAAAGTTAATTCACTTGAATCAACCTAACTACGTTAATACTTGAAAGTGAAAACTGGTGAAAAATAAATAAATCGCTTGCTTAACAAGTTTTACTCCATTGAGCTGTAGAAGTATCTTGAACAGTTTGGCCGCATATATATATATATATATATATATATATATATATATATATATATATATATATATATATATATATATATATATATATAGTGGACATTGTTAGCCCCAATATAATTGAATGATATAAATGCTAGTAAATTATTTAAATTCGTATATCCTCAGTCGACTGATTATGTTAATAAAAATTTGAAATGAAAATTCGAATATGAATGGTATTTAGGACATGTATAATTTAGACAACCATCCAAGCAGGTAAACTGAACTAGTAAATATACAAACGGAATAGATTCAGACAGGAGTAGTAGTATCTGTAAAAACCCATTCAGTGAATAACGGGTGATTTAGCCTTTATAATAAGGTAAATAATGTATGAATTATTGATAACCAATTATAGTATAGATCTCAGACAAATAATGCGAGGATATCTAAATTATATTAAGTTAACAGTAAGCAATCAACACGAGCATGTATATGAAAATAGATCTGTAATAATGTAGATAGTTCTAAATAGTGACGTATGCAAAAAACAATATATATATATATATATATATATATATATATATATATATATATATATTGAGAGAGTGAAATGAAAGTGGGCAAATGGTAGGTTGGCAATATCATGTTACCGTTCAATTTAACTTTTTATTATGTACAATAGATATGACGGATTTGCATATTTTATATTTGACAACAACAGATCAAGCTGAACATAAATACACAGATGGTATGATTGACACTGATTCACCGACAACAATTGTTGATAGTGTCGGTATGGTACTATTTGCTGTGTATCATGGTATTATAATCATTGTATTGGTCAACATGTTAATTGCTATGATGAGTCATTCATTTGAAAGTATTCAGGTAAAATTTTGCATGAATTTCTAGTATCTTTTAATTTCTGCAATTGTCATTTGATTTAAAAATTTTATTTGAATAAAACAATCAACACTTAGTTGGGTTGTCAATTGAGATCAGTTCAGTTTTGTGTTTGATACAAAAAACCAATAAATGTTGGATAAAATTCAAAGATTCGACGCAGGATGCAGGACAGTCCTTGCTTCAACGTCTGTTGAGGTTGATGTGTATATTGCCGAATTGTTCTAAACTAAGACTTTAAATATCATAACTATAGGTGTTTAATTTTGTTACGTCCTTGACCTGTGTACCTAACAATATACAGAAGATAACTTGAATCTATCCAAATTAATTCCTTGAACGATAGGCTAACTGGCTTAACCTTGAGGCTAGAAATGAGTGAATTCGAATTGAGACTAACTGCTCTAGGTAGAGCGATGAAAACTATTCTGTCGTCTGATTGGTTGACAGGTGCGTGAGAAAAACGAGTAAACTGGAACACTAATCGATTTATTCACGGTTCCGATTCCAATTTCGATTCGGATTAATGTAAAAAGATACATGAGTAAATAGATGACTAAAATGACCACAACGTATTCTATATTGTACCAAAATATAATATTGAATAAAGCCATTAATAATAATAATAATAATAATAATAATAATAATAACAATTAGATCTCAATTAAAAACTTAACAATCTTCACAATCCTCTACTGATAATTGCCATGTACTCACTAGTGACTAGATTTAAGATAGAATTTCTGATTCTCTAGTGAGAAGTCGTTACCAGTGGAGTTCACCCGCCTCTGTTGTGAGGCAGTTACTCACTGAAGACAATAGTGGACGGTAGCGCAATATCGCGGATTAGTTGAAGTTATACACTAATACCATTTGATGCCGGCCCATTGGTCTAGATGTTGAGCGTTCGCGCGCGACACCGAAAGTCCTGGGTTTGATTCCCGCGTGCTCGATCGTAGATACTCACTGTTGAGGAGTTCGATACCAAGACGAAACGACCGTTTACTGCTTCCAAGTTCCCACTGGTGGTCTAACATTGGTCAGTTCATTATCTCAATTATAAACTCAACAATCTCCACAACCGTATATAATTAAAAATTACAGTTATGTCCAAACCGGACATTAAGTTAAGAAAAATAGAGTACCAAAGCTCGCATTTAAATTACAATCTCTTTTAACAGATAGAGGTAATGAATCATACTTCAGGCAAAAGCTTATGGTTTGTAGAATAAATTAAAGACAAAACTAAATGTTACTGTTTTACAAGTCTTGAATTGAGTGAAATAACGTCCCCAAAAATAGCTTCCGTTATTTGTCATTGCTTTTTTGTTCCTCCGTTCGTATCAAATTTTAGTAATTTTCAACTTACAACAATCCACGACAAGAATAATCTCAGGGTTGAGTATTTAATATATTAAAGACTCGTTGATAATTTAGCTTTATAGTAATTAACTGTGCTTTTATATGAGGAAATGTCACTCTTATATTTGGCATTAGTACCTATGGTTATTCATTAAAAGATGTTGACAATTGAAAGTGACTCATATTTTAATAAGTATTGGTATCCTAACAAAAGATATAAATTTAAATATAGCCCATTAAAGTCTCAGAACATTTCAGTGACCATGATGAAACTAAGTGAGAATTCGTTACATTCATTTGAAAAATGCAAGCAGATAGAATTAAATTTTTTGATATAACTGAAACCAGTTGCTAGATTATGTTAAAGAAGAATTGCTGTAGTCATTCGCATAAAAAAAATGTTCAATGAAACCTGCCACATAGATCATGCGGCTAACAGAAATTTTATTAATATATCTTTATTTTACTATAAGTTGATAATACATACCGCGTTATTAACTCACTAAACATTTTTGAAATTTGTCCATAAAAAAACAACACACCAATGAATACTCCAGAAAACTACTCATCAGGGGCTCAGTTTTCTGATAGCTCATACTAGTAAGATATTACATGGTAATGATGTCACCTATGAACAGTTGCATATTACAAACTAGACCACAAGTGACTGATATGTCGAGTATTTAATAGTGCTAAACAGAAAAAGATTATTAAATGAAAGACGTGTTGTTTGTTGTCTAAACTGCACATCTGTCTCATGCTAGTACGAGACTCCACTGGAGGTCGAGCTAAGTGTAACATCCAGAACTCCTAGAACTCTGGATTAAGCTTCTGTATAGAAGGTTAATATGACAGTTGAGCACTAGCTGTGCCAAATAATCCAGAACAGACTAAGTAAGTGTTACTAACTGAAAATGAGGATGCGTATAAAATGTATAAGAGCACAATACTTGAACAGTTTTACCTACATCTACATACCCACAAAACTGGACAAGATCATACTAAGAAGTTAATAGTATTAATAGTTAAGTATCACACAGAAAATCACTTCCCAATAAAAAATGAAGTGTTCTTGCTCATCAAGGAACAAAATTCTATCTCAAAATTAAATCAGTTCAGTTTGGTCCAGAGATGAGCAACACTCTACATTCCCAACAAATAGGAAACAAAGTTTCTATCCCTTGGGGATAAATCAAATTAAACCAGAATCATTAAAAATACGGTTAACCAATTATGTTAATTAAAACTAAATTAGCACAGCTAGTATAAATCCTAATGACATGAAGGAATAGGTTAAAAAGCGATAATAACTGAAAAGAAATCAAAGGTGAATGCCATATTCCCAAATAAAGAAAAATAGGAAAGCAGCGTCAAATGCAAGGTGAAACAAAGAAATACTATCACATGGTGAACATGCGTGGAGGGATTTTCCCACTGAAGCACACATGTGCATTGAAAAAACGATTTTACACGCAAAATGTTTTGGTTTCGCAGTGAGCGCTTAACCTCTAAACCAATTAATTCACACCCGATACTATATATTTCTAACTTCAGCTAATTCGCGCAGCCATCTTTCATTTTAGTAACTCCATGACTTTTAACTTGGTAACAGCTTCTCACTAGAACACTCCCAAAAAAAGATGTTTAGTACTTCCTGGGTTTTCATAGTTGTCTAACTACAGTCATTCCATAGTATATACTTCAATTCTTGGAAATCATCTAAATACACATTATTTCTATAGCTTGGTTATGATAATAAATGGAAGATTCTTCAAATATGAAACAACACTGAATATATGTAATGAGCACGTTTACATTTTTAAACACATGTAGTTATTTGGTCAAAACCATGGTACCCTAAAGACAATGCAATAAAATTAACTACACATTGTACAACGGCTTCCCAAAATCATTTTATAAAACAATATTACACATTTTATTTCAAATTAGCCTAATTTGAAAAGAGTAGCTAGCTGACTCATTTACAACTAAGAGATTAGAGTTTTGGAGATTGTTTAATTTTCATAGAGACTATGAACTGATCAATTCTAGATCACCGTTTGAAGAACTGATCGGTTCATGATGTCAATAAGAAATCAGCAATCTCAAAAACCCCACATTGATAACTTTCATGTGTTCACAAGTGTCTATCTTCGAGAGATGATTCTCGTAGTTCTAGTGAAAAGCTGTGACAAGTGTAGTCAACTATGTCAGGTGTGAAGAAAATGGTCACACAATGTCATGGATTGATTAGAGTTATACATTCACACCGTTGGATGACGACCAGAAGGTTGTCGCGGGACTGACGGTGCTGGGTTCGAGTCCGTGTGCGGGATTATGAATGTGCACTGCTAAGTAATTTCCAAAACCCTATACTGATAATTACCGTGTGCTCACTAGTGACTAGCTTCGTGAGGGAATTCTCGGAGTTATAGTGAGAAGCCGTAAGCAGTGGAGTTAATCAGTGTCGGGTAGAAACAGGTGTCTACCTCAGTACAATGGACGATGTTCGCTCAATTTCGTGGATTGGTTGGGGTTAGACATTAACACAGTTGTATGCCGGCTCAGTGGTGTAGAGGTTAAGCTTTCGCGCGCGAGAGTGATAGGTGCTGTGTTGGAATCTCGCTGAGCGGGATCGTGGATGCGCACTGCTGAAGAGTCCCACAATAGGACGAAACGGCCGACCAGTGCTTCCAGGTTTTTAATGGTGGTCCAACATTGATCGGTTCATGATCCCGATCAAAAAACTCAGCAATCTCCATAATCCTATACTGATAATTTACAATTAACAAGAAATTACATAAAGAAAAATTTCGTGCAGAATTGAAGATCCTTAAATTACTTAAAAGTAATAATGATTAGTTAAACCGAATACATTGTTTATTTCCATAATCCTATTTTACAAATGCCACTAAATTCAATCGAACTAGATACTATTTTATTAGATAAACAGTGGTTAACATAAATTTAAATGATATAATTAACTTTTAATAAAGTTATTTCATTTTATCTAAACTTCTATTCAAACTAATATAAAATCAAGACAAAGACATTATTACGGTTATCATTATGTGTCAACGTGAGTAAGAAAGTTAGAACAATCTATTGGCATTCATAATTGTACACAAAATCATCTTTCATCTCTGATAACATCAAAACAAACTCGATCAGACTTAAATATTATTAGACAGAAATTATGGCAAACTAAAATAATCATATCAGAAAGGGGTTTTGTGGAGATTTTCGTAATTTCAGTAGTTGAAATCATCAGTCAGTTGAAGCTAGAACACCATGGAAACCTGGAAGCACTGGACAGCCGTTTCGTTCTAGTATGGGACTACTCAGCAGTGCGCATCCACAATCCTGCCTACTGAGACATTCGAACCCAGAACCTATCAGTCTCGCGCGCGACCACTTAACCGTTAGACCACTGAGCCAGCATCCAACGGTGTTAATGTCTAACTTCAACCAATCCACGAAGTTGCACCACCGTACATCATTGTCTTCAGTGAGTTGATATCTCACAACAGATCTAGTTGAACTCCACTGGTAACAGCTTCTCACTAGGACTCCTGTTGTTACAAATTTAAAATCCTAACCGATATTGTTAATGTTATCATTATATCAATGATTAAAACCACTGAATAAAATGGGTCGTAGCTTCATGGGCAATATTTACAATCTCGTCATCCCTAAAACTGTTTGTTGATAAATATTATCAAAAAACTAACCAAAATAATGCTTCACTGTCCATGGATTATTTTCCCCAACTAAATAACAACTAATACGGTTTCTAAATTTTATGACGCATATTATTGACATAAGCTGAAACCGTTTACCTCTTATAAACTACATCATTGCTAGAAAGGGTTTGAATTATCTCTTTGTTGATTTTCTTGACCGAATTTCGATCGTCTTCTGATGGAATGTGGGTATCTTGTGCCATTCACCTAGATACAACAACTCTGTCACAAGTCTCATATAACGGATGAATAATGGCTATCATTGAGATCTACGACGTCTGTGTTGTCTAATTTTTAATTAATTAGATCCATGTAGTGACGCATACGTCACACAAATCGGACAAGTTAGTGACTACCTTGACTCAGTACATCAGTAGATAACGCTTAATCTCTTCAAACGAAAGATATAGGGTTCGAGTCACAGAGTGAACGTCAACACTGGGATGTGATCTAAAAGTTGAGTGAAATTAGGCAAATTCATCTTTATTTTCATGAGTCTTTATCGCAACTTGAAACGTTAAATTATCGAAATTTAAAATGCAGTTCACTATGAAAGAAGTAATTAGTATCCACTTTCGTTAAGATATCTTGGTATTATTTGCTTGTATCTTCCCATTACTGTTTAGGACTGCAAATGATCAGTCTCTTGTTGGTATATGTGAATCCTGTACGGACTGCCTCAATATTGCTTTAAGTTACAAGCTTTCTAAGCAAAGATTGATAGTGGCTAGCAGTGGAATCCAGGATACGCGTTTTGTCCTATTTGGGACTCGTCAGCTGGATGTATTATTACAAGGAATCCGTAACTAGTTAAAAATGTTAATTTTCTGTTTCGAATGTCTGAAAAATTGAGATTATAATTAACGATTATTGTAAGCATCAAAAAGGTGAAACATCCCACTGAAAAGTTTATTAAATACGTCCCTGATGTCAGTTCATCATTAGTACTAATTTCTAGGTTAAGTTATCGAAATTCGGTTATCTCAAGGCCATCTGGAGTTGCATAGTTCTCCCAGTGAAAGAATATCAAATAAACTTGTGTTCTGTATAGACCCCATAACGATTTATTTCTCTTTACCTGTTATATCAACTTTTTATTCTTTTAGGAAGATTGTGATGTTGAATGGAAATTTGCAAGAACTCAATTATGGTTAAATTATATTGATAATGGTAGTACATTACCAGTACCATTTAATGTGATACCAACTCCGCACAGTGTTGCAAACGCAATAAAATTTATGCGTAATATTTTTAAAGATGAAGTCGGATTTGTCAGTGGAAATATACGAAGTACAGATTTTGTCAAAGTAAGTAACGTCAAATGTATGGTAATTGTTTTTTCAGAAGTTATAGGAAATAATAGATGGTATTTTCTTTGTAAATTGAATTCCTCTGTATCGATAATAACTACCGCTGAAGTATTCTATATTTTAAACTGGTTTTCTAATACTTATTAGGTTGTGTTCTGTCTAATAATATTTAAGTCTGATCGAGTTTGTTTTGATGTTATCAGAGATGAAAGATGATTTTGTGTACAATTATGAATGCCAATAGATTGTTCTAACTTTCTTACTTACGTTGACACATAATGATAACCGTAATAATGTCTTTGTCTTGATTTTATATTAGTTTGAATAGAAGTTTAGATAAAATGAAATAACTTTATTAAAAGTTAATTATATCATTTAAATTTATGTTAACCACTGTTTATCTAATAAAATAGTATCTAGTTCGATTGAATTTAGTGGCATTTGTAAAATAGGATTATGGAAATAAACAATGTATTCGGTTTAACTAATCATTATTACTTTTAAGTAATTTAAGGATCTTCAATTCTGCACGAAATTTTTCTTTATGTAATTTCTTGTTAATTGTAAATTATCAGTATAGGATTATGGAGATTGCTGAGTTTTTTGATCGGGATCATGAACCGATCAATGTTGGACCACCATTAAAAACCTGGAAGCACTGGTCGGCCGTTTCGTCCTATTGTGGGACTCTTCAGCAGTGCGCATCCACGATCCCGCTCAGCGAGATTCCAACACAGCACCTATCACTCTCGCGCGCGAAAGCTTAACCTCTACACCACTGAGCCGGCATACAACTGTGTTAATGTCTAACCCCAACCAATCCACGAAATTGAGCGAACATCGTCCATTGTACTGAGGTAGACACCTGTTTCTACCCGACACTGATTAGCTTCACTAATCACGGCTTCTCATCACAATAGGACGAAATGGCCGTCCAGTGCTTTCAAGTTTTAAATGGTGGTCTAACATCAATCGGTTCATGATCTAAATAGAAAAACTGATATGTATTTATCGGGTAAATTAATGATCTTTTATGTCTACCAAATGCGACACTTTTTTCTCATAAATATTTTCTTATTCACCATACCAATTTAAACACACATTAATATTATTATTTACTTCTTTTTCCCCCTCTCTATCACTCTGAGTATTCTGTTGCTTTTTTCTTCTATTCTCTCTTTGTGGTTATTAAAACTTAAATACCTTAAATTTTATGGAGATGGTTGTTAGTTTTATTTCTCCTTCCGTAACTTCTTTGTATGGATATGTATAAGTACATGTGACTAGACCTAATTGTCCTAAACACGTCAATTATCATTTCTACTTCACCCTTTCCATCGCCCTCTTATCGTAACCACCCACCCACCTACACACACTCATACATAAATACAAAACTAAAAAAGAGGATTAATCTTAGTGATCGCTTCATTTTTTCTTACTATTTCTCTCGTCTTGTTAATGATTCTACGCGCAATATAACTATATTATTATTAGTAATACCATGATTAAAATTGTGTTTGTTGATATTCTGTAGTAGTAATAACAATAATAATAATAATAACATTATAATAACTGTGAATAAAGTTATTGACAATGAAAGCGTAACTATACTAATTTTATAGGCCCAAAAATCAATCACTGAAAGTATATAACAGTATGCAAAGGAAAAAAACACGAATCGTCCGAAAAAAACTATAACTGCGACAACGACGACGATATTGCAAATGTATAATGATTACAAAACGGTTAAAAATAAATAAATGAGTAAATAAATGTAAGAAGATGACAGATAGATAGGTAGATAAATATACGTTCCGTTTCTTTATCCCAAATCGGAACTTTTTACACTTTAAATAAATGATCATGAAGAGCGAATGAGTCTTAATTCCGATATTTTTGATGGGTAAAAATTTAGAAAAAAACAATGCAACTTGTTAAATACCGAAATTTATTGTCACCATTATTGTTCAACTTAATAGGCGCACAGAAATTTCCCATCTAAAATAAATACGACATTGTTCTGTACTACTTGTATCTTCATATCATCGACATTCTAATGATCATTGTCATTTTTAAAAATTTAGCGCATGTAGGTGATTGAAAATAAAAATCAACTAGGTTAGCCTTTTATTACTACTTCCTCCCTCTTCTTTTTCTTGCTTTTCAGAAGAATAGTAAAGTAAATATTTGTTAGTGTTTTTACTTTCCCGTTGTTTATATTCCAAACTCAAACTGATCTATCTCTGTTGATATAATATATATCTTGAAAACTAAGCCTCAATATAGCGGATAGTTAAATTAGATAATGAATTATCTAATCGTTTGATATGTTTTCAAAAACCAGTAAATACAAATCAACGAAATTTTAGTGTCTAGACTAAATAATTCTGACAAATCAGAACCTTAATTATCAACCATTATCAGTCATACGACTACGGTATTAAATATACATTTTATTATCCTTCGTTATTTCTGTAATATTTATTTATCCAAATTCTATTTGAGACTGATCCACTCATCGTGAGGTTTCATAGTAAGTAAAATTCCATGTTGCCAGTTCGTGTAAATGTAATGAACTATATTTTCAATTCTGGTTATATTAATATGTTGGTGAGATATATAAACATTAGACCTCTGAGCTAACTTTTTAAATGAAAGGTGTCTCATATAGGCTGTACCAGAATATCTTCATGATACTTAACCGAGTCGGAGAATACTATCCACGGTTATACTACTATGTAATACCGACACAAATTGAAGTTAATGAGGCAGGTTTATAGCGGAAACAGATCATTGTCATGCTCTGATTAATACTGTTTTGCATGTTCCCGTATAGAATATCCGGTCGAATAATTGTTTTCTGTAACCTGATGTCAAGGATTTAAAGTCTTAAATTTATAAATACTGATATGAATAAAGAAAAGATTAAGATAGTACGCGTTGTTGACAAGACCGAGCTAACATAAAATCAAGATCCAGCGTTTCCTCTCAACGAGCTCGAACCAATTGACGTCACAATGTAATGCACATAATGCTGATTTAACCACACCAGTGACCACGTTACGACTCGTTAAATGGGATTCGAACAACAAGAAAAACGACTAGACAAACATGGTATTAATCACTACATAATGATCAACTAAATGCAATCCGTCAATTAAAAGCTACAGAATGAATTTTTTTATTTAAAACATCTCTTTCTTAATAACACTGTAGTACGATGAATAAAGTGACTTGACTACATAAACAAATGAAGGACGAAATATGGTAAGCAAATGACAGTTTTAATGGAGTTGGGTCGGGGGTGAGATAGTTACACACTGAAAACGATGGTAGATGGTCGCACAATATCATGGATTGTTCTAAGTCAAACATTAACACTGTTTGATATAAACTCAATAGCCTATAGGTTAACAGTTCGTTAGCGAAACCGAGAATGCTGGGTTTGGTTCCTGCGTGTGGGGTCGTGGATGTCCACTGCTCAGGAGTCTATGCTAGGACGAAATAGCTGTCCAGTAATTTAAATTTTCCGATGTTGTTCTAACTTAAATCGCCTCAGGATTTCAGTAAAGTGATTTATTCAAACTACTTTACAATAAGTGCGACATGATAGTATTTGTAGTTTTATTCTGAACTGGTTGCAACCTTTGTTTACATCTATCGGTTGTATTTTGTCATATTATTATTATGTTCAAATGGAAACTTGTTAACAAGGAACGTCAGATCTAGGTTTTGTGTTGGTTGGCACTTTTAATTAAGTCACATTTGAGATTTTGAGGTAATTGTTACTTACAGATGGATTAGGATCCGGATGATCTAGTTTCACAATCTGAGCAATTGCCACTAACCATTTAAACTGAGATCAACTCTCCTTAGGATTTAGATGTTGACATTTGACTAACCACAGAGTAGTGACTGGCTTCGTATTTATTTTATCCTTTATTGTTGATCGATTTCTGTCTGTTAAGTTGGAATATTATTCAATAACTGCAGCCACATGACATCAAAAAAGGACACGTGATATGTAGTCAATATGACTAGTGGACATATTGGATCTTTGTCGACTGAACTCACTTAGCCTGAATGAATAAAAAACAGACATGATATCAGTCACCTCACATTGATCAATCGATTGTAAATACAGGTATATCAACTACTTACCCCCACTGAATATTTTTTAAAACATTATGGATGGGTGATGTGATAACTGAGGGAAGTTAGAAACAGATAACATGACTTATTTGAGTTGAAGCAAGAATTATGACGCCTCATGATGAAAGCCGAGATTCTTCGGAAGTAACGACGTGATCGAATCCAAGTTGAACAGAAGAGGTTAGATTTGGGAGAGATGCTGCTGTACTCCGGTCACGAAGAGGAAAATGCACCGCACACTCAAGGATTTGCTCTGATGTTGTCCAAATAATCACGAAATGCACTTATAGGATGGGAATCTCACGGATTCAGGATCATCAAAGCATCTTTCAAAACAAGGAAGGAAGGAATCACAATTTATGTTATTCAATGTTATGCACCCACCAATGATAGCAATGACGACGATAAAGATCAGTTTTACGAGAGGCTGCAATCAATCATAGCTAAGCGCCCAAGAAAGCACCTGACCATTCTTATGAGAGACTTAAACAACTTCCTATTCTTTCTATATGCTGTCATTTTTTTTCTTCTTTATTATTTTGTTTACTTGAATCTTTATTTAACTGACCTTCATTAATTTCCGTATAAAATGTCCTGACAAGTATATGTGTGACCAGATTGTTCGAAATGTATAACGCAAATAAGTCATGTTTTTCAGATCAACTCCGTCTTCTCATAGACCTACCGAGATGTCATTTCAGTTAGACTCATTGTAAAAACTGGCAAATATATATGGGTTCCTTTAAGTTGTCACACCACGTAAGTACAATTATTGGGGTAGTAAAAGTTGTGATGGTACTGGTAGTAGTAGGAAACATTACATATAAACAATATGATTCTAGAAAAATGAATGAATTCGCAGGATAAATTATTATTTTTGGGATTTTTTCAAGACTCAGTATCTGAAGGGAGATAAAGAGGGAATGAGTCAGAGCCTCTGAAGTCGATTCTGAACTATGTTACCTAGAGTCTCCTATCACTATTGGAAGTTATTAGCCAAACAGTCAATGATTACATGGACTGTTGCTACGTCTTGGTCTGATCATCCCTAGCTTTATCTAACCTTGTTTGACATCAGAGAACATTACACTTCGAGGTAAACAGTGATTGGGTATTTATTGTATGGTTCTGAACCACCTCATTCAATGAACATCTCACACCGTATCAGTCAATTCGCTATATTTATCTAGTACCTCCCATCTAGCCTCAGTATCCTGACATACGTGAATAACGATTTGAATTCATCTGCACGTAATTACCATCTTGCTAAACACGACAAGAGGTAAAGTAACCGAAATAACAACCATCCAGATGAATAATACCATGAAAATGTTACTGAAACTAATCAGATTTACGAATTAAGTTTTGAAGTTAGTGTGTGTCTAATTATTAGTCGATAAAAGTTCTACTGAAAAAATTTGACACAATGGTAGAGTTATATCAGTACTCATTGCTTATCCTTGAACGAGAACAACTGAACAAAAGTTTAACTATGTTAAATGATTGTAAAATTAATTTTTTCCATAGATAACATGTAAGACAGTGGTGGAGAGGATATAATAACAAGAAAAACAAGCAAAAAATAACAAATTTTGCATAATTTTAACTCGTAACAAAAAGTATTAAACAGTACACTGTGACTAAGAATACAAATTTTATATTCATATGTTGTAGTGATTACAACTATATTTTTTAACTAGAAGATATAATGTAAACAATCAAACTACAGTTTTTTCCATAAAAATTAATAATATGAATGTTGCCTAGTTTAATGACCATAGAGGTAAAAGTCGTATTGTTTTAACAAAAATATATCTCATTATTTATGGCCGCTAAATTTTGACGATAATGTTAATGATGACGCTGTCGGAAAGGATGGAAAAAGTGACAAGTACTTTTAAGTAATAAATTCATTTGATTTTCAATAAAGTTTGGCTATTATTGTAGGCCAACAAATTAGTTTATTTCATCTTATATTTTGCGCATTGATTCGTAGTACGAGCTTGAGTTATTATGTTGTTAATACTGGAGACTGAATTTTAAACATTTTTTTCTTGGTATGTGTATCTTATGCAGATTGTCTCAAAGTAGCTATTATATCATAAATTACTTAGAAAACGTAAAGATAATTTTCAGAAGATCCACATATTTTAGTTTCCAATATCAATACCGGAATAACTCAGACACCTGCTTATACCAATGTAAACAAAATATTCGTTCAACAAGTTATTGACTAGCCAAACTCATTACCTCCGTGGATACCACGTTAATGTTTGAGGTGAAGATGTTGCATTCAAATCTCAGCAACACTGAGATATGGAGGATAGATCTAGGTGATGAGTCCCAAAAAGGATAAAACGCTCGTCCATCTATCCTACATAAATTTCTTATTTAAAGTATTAGAGACTGGTCATTTTGTTGACTGCTTATTCTCTTTATTTCTTTAGTTGACTAGCATGAATTCACTGATTTTTGGTGAATTATCGTTATTCATCATAACTTCAACTAGGACAATCAATAGCCAAATCATCATAAATACAAAGTAGTTCTATATATTTTAGTCACTAGTGGATCAATTAAAAAACCAAATTTTAGTTAATAATCACCGCATAAATTACTTAAGACAACGTCAATTTCTCGAATAATATTTAAGAAATAAAAGATAATTAAACTAGCTTTTCTTTGTTCGTCAACATCTACCATCTCATTGACTTTGTAAGAGTAAAAACAATAACTGAATAATACACGTTCACAAATGCATACATAATTTGTGTTTCTCTTATACCAGCATAAAAGACTTATAATTAATTACTTGTCAGATTCCCATATCTGAGTTACTTCTTATGTAGATTTTTTCTTCAAATAATCATTTCCAAGCTTCTCCATCTATTCTGTTGTCGTTTTTTGCGTTCATTTCGATGATCCGGAAGTAAAAAACCGTTAAAATGCATAAAACAACTTGATGAATATGACTGGGAAATGAATACAAAGTAATATATGTTTTTGTGTATGTATATTTTGAGAAGTATAATATGGAAAAGAAAGTTTTGTCTTGACTTTTTCTAATGATTAACCATTTTTCTTTTATGAGATAATTTGCTACTCATTAGATTTTGAAATTTTTGACCAATTAGCTTCCCTTAATGCAATGTTCTAATTTTGATGGCAACAGTCTGAAAACGTTAAATCTGCCTTTCACGTTAATTGATATTCACCAGTAATTCTAATACAATGAATGCTCTCTATCAGGGATAAGAGTGTGAGTCTCCAAGTGTCACAGTTTGGAAAGTAAATACTTAATTGTTCTGACCGCCACTTATCTATTTTATGATCGAGATATATACAGCAATAAATAAACCTTAGATCTATTGGTTGATAAATAACTTTCGAAATCCGAACATAGATACCATTTACATGTTAATGGATTAAAATCACGTTTATTTTGTCCTATGAAATTCATGTATGGGTATATCGTTTTATCATACAAAACGATTTATTTTGCCTACTGGTTATGCCGTCCTCAAGTATACGTTCATTTTAGGCTAATTTCATTTACTCCAATTTGTAAATAATCATTACTCAGTCACAATAAAGCCAAATAATTGGTTATACATGTCCCACAATTCATATCATTCACTGTCCGACAGAATATGATGTTAAAGCTCATTAGTCATTGAATGGAGATTATTATTGTGTAATATAGTTTCTCATGTTGTATGAATTCTTATAATTAAATAACCATACATTATGTTATACTACCATATATATATTTAACAACATAATACGAAATAAATCACACTGATTAAAAAGTTTATTTCTTTAGATTAAATAAATTTGTATTTTATTTTGAAATAATGAAAATAAAAGTTTTTATTTAGTTTACTTTTTATATGAAATTGCGAGCTAAATATCACTTTGTAGAATATAAGTTCCTTACTGTGATCATTGTGTTTACGACTCAGAAATGTAATTTCAAGTACTGGACGGCTGTTTCGTCTTAGTATAGGACTCCAGTGTCCTACTGAGAAGCCGTCACTAATTCAGTCCAACCATGTCATGTGTGAGATAGTTACACACTGAAAACGATGGTAGATGGTCGCACAATATCATGGATTGTTCTAAGTCAAACATTAACACTGTTTGATATAAACTCAATAGCCTATAGGTTAACAGTTCGTTAGCGAAACCGAGAATGCTGGGTTTGGTTCCTGCGTGTGGGGTCGTGGATGTCCACTGCTCAGGAGTCTATGCTAGGACGAAATAGCTGTCCAGTAATTTAAATTTTCCGATGTTATTCTAACTTAAATCGCCTCAGGATTTCAACGAGATCCAGGAAAATTTCATTGTTGTACCATTGGATTACAATCCAATTGTACCAGCAGTTAAGCGCCTTTCGTGTAACCTTAAGGTCCTGGATTTGATCACTGACTGGGTATTGAGTCCTAGTTTCTGAAGATGAAAGAGATGTTTAATGTTTCCTGGTTTTCTATGGTACTTCAAATACGGTAAATCTGTGACTTACAAATTCTAGAATACATGAAACAATCTGAGGACGAATAATCAACTAATAAATTTGAAAATAATCTTCATCAGTCTAGTTATAGTTTTACCATTCTTTTGAATCTGCTAGTACCGTGTTCACCCATAAATTTGTCACCAGCAATTTAAGCAAGGACATTCAAATGTATGTACGTCAACCTTCGACAAATAGGACAGAATTCAATAATGCATATTCCTGACTTTAACCAATTAGCAATATAACATGACGATCATTAACCTGTGTCAGTTGTGATGAATATCAGTTCGATGGTTTGAAGGTATCTTAATTGTTTAAAACCTAAATGTATTTGAGTTTTATCAGTGAGAGTTCAGAATAAGAATGAAAAAATTGTCCAGTGACCTTTGGTAGTCCAGCAATTACTCAGACATAAATCTTATATCTCGAAAGGATGACATCTGTTCAACACACTTCATTCGTTCACTGGTTTAAATATATATATATATATATATATATATATATATATATATATATATATATATATATATATATATATATTGATGATGTATTTTGTACTAGTCAAATGATTTACTAATTAATTTCAGTATTATCGTTTCCACTGTATGCATTCTGTTTACTCTTCCTTCCCCTATATGACATATATCAAACAAAATCATTGTACGAAATTTTCAAACCAAAAACTTAGGTGAGAAGAGATAAAGTTGTAAAAGACAAAGATTTAACTATTCAAGAAACATCACATTCAGATATTATGCAACGACTTGTTAGACGTTATTTATTCAAAATGGAAAGAGAAAATGATGATAAAGGTTAGTTTTGCATTGCTATTAATTTATGTGAAGTTTTATAGAAATTTGTTGAATTTGTAGGTAGTATTCACTATAAATTAATCTCATTTGGTTTATCACTAAATATCAGCGAACAATGAACAGCAATTCCGACCTGGTATAGGGCTCAAGTGGTGAGAGGTTGTGAATGATGGAGTCCAAACGAGTTGTCACAAACGGCATTAAATGATCGCTTCACCATATCTCAAATCGGTTGATGATGGAATCGTACCTTGGGTTGGTGACCCAACAACTCACTGTGATAATCGAGGGTCCTGAGTTCGAACTCTGAATGGATTGTGAGTGCACACTAGGCTGAGGTCCTGTTGCTATAACGAAGTAGCTGTCCAGTGCCCTCTGGTTTTGGGAAGTACGCCAAACAGGATCAGTTTGTGACGAATACTACCTACAAATTAAAATATGCGTTTTTGAGTTGATATTTCAAATGATGAAATTTTAATTTTATTGTAATGAACATAATGTTTTAGGAAGTAACCAGTGATAATGAATTATCGACATAAAGAAATTTGATGGTGATTTTGAGCTCCTCAACAGTGTACACTAACTGTCTGAGAAATAATCAAGCTCAAAACCTTCATTTTTTGAGGCGATAACTGTAATATCCCACCAATGAGTTACGATTGGTGAAGTAATATTTTTCACGGGACTGAAATATCGATATAGCACAATCCTTATTCACTATCGATAACAGAAATCGATTTACTTCTAACTATAAAAGACAAAGGTTCTCACTGGAGCTTCAACAAATTTAGTTATTCATTATTTAGAAATGCGAAACATCAAATCTCACTGTTCTATTCTCCATTAATTTTACAACTATAACAATAGACACTGTTTAATCTTTTCTAAATATGACATTTTAGAAACATTACTGATGGATACTAGTGTAATATAACTAAGACTTAAAAATATACATCGAATTACTTGGTTATATTCCAATAAATTACATGATTCTAGAAACTAGACAATATATTATAGGTTCGATCGAAAAAAGACGTTTTTAAACTGATCACAATACAAACTTACGAAAATATTATTATTATTCCATTTATCAACTTTATTTTGATTGCCGCATGGCAGTGATACAGTTCTACAATAACGCTAAAGTAAGAAAGACAATGAAAGTTTCTCAATTGAATCAAAACGAATCCCCCTGTGCTGTAAACCTTCTATATTATTTCATTATCTTTACTAAATTGACTGGTGTTAAGAAATTACGTAATTATAAGCAACAAAAATACTGTTTGCCACATATTAATGAAACGAGTTAATACGACTGAGATTATACTACTTTCTAAATAGATACTTAATCGACAATACCACACTGGAACTGAGATCGCGTTCTACAGAATAAACGAGTCGTCACCAAATACACAGAAGCAGAGCATAGACTAGACAATATATTACCTAATACATTTATTAGCAGTTTACACTCAATGAAGTTCGGAGAAATCAGCTACAAAGTAGAAACCACATATTAAGTAACTAGTAAGCTGAATTTTTGTCTGTCTACGATCAGTGGCGAGTCATATGTAACTCCCACTAACCACAGATGACTATTTTCATCTAATCTAAAAACAAAAGCTGCACATATTTATAATGATAGCGTCAACATCTACCAAAGAGATAATCATCATTAATATTCGTGAGAAAACAACACAGTGATGATCACCCAATTAAGTATAACCACATTTTTCAAAACAATATACTGTAGATAAACAAACTGACATATTGAGTGAGACATCTTTCATACAAATTAGCTACTAAATCATAACCAATCGCGTATGATTTGTTGTGTAGTTAAGTAGTTGTAGACAACGCATGGGTGAAGTCTATAGTAGTATACTTTTTTTATTAATTAATACCTTTGGTGTATGCACAATAATATTGGTAACACTTTATCTCCTTTCAGAAAATTAAACGTGAAGTTCACATATCATCTCAGTCAAACGTAATTACCACAGGGTTACTCAAACCACCACTTATCTCTTTTAAAAATTAACTATTTACAATAATAGTGAAAAATAATCAATGTTATAGTGTTAACAACTTAAACTAAATATCTTGATGTTTATTATCACATGTTAGTTAGTTGTAATTTAAATAACTCAATGATAACATTTCTGTCTGTAACCCTGAGTGATATGTCTCAAATTTTCGCAAGAACATCAATCTACTGAAATGTATTAATTCACTTTGCTAAGTAGGGACTACTCACATAAAGTGTAATGGTATGTTAAAAAATATATTACACTAATATAAAATATAATCAGAAAACCGTTTTAGTGATTTATTTAAAAGATTGTATGTATGTAAATACTGAGAAATGAGAACACTATTTAGTCGAATTAACAAGCAGACAAAATGAAAAGGCTAAATATATAAAAATGGCGAAACTTTTAAGAACTGAACTACTTATCACCTTCCCAGTATCGCCGCCACACCAAAACCTCAACCTCTCATTTCAATGCGTACTTTTACAACTTAAAAATTTCTATTTTTTATAGTTGAAATATTTCCTGATATATATTCAGTAATTTTGTTTATTGACACACTTGAATAAAGATATTTATATGAATTTTAAAAAACCCATAAATAATATATTCACTATTAATAATACTAATAGTATTATTATAATTTAATACCATCCACTCATAAAATATCTTCAATGTCGTGATGAAAATTTATTATTATAACTACTACTCTTATTTTTGTTAGTAATGAATTTATGTACTTAAAACATTTAAGAATATTTTATGACTATACATTGTGCTAATTGTTGGTGATAATGACGGTGGAAATAATTATAATAGTAATAACAATAATAATAATAGTAATAATAATAATAATGAAGAACTTGAATTCAATTTTACAACTTTGTTTCATTGAAACTTTTAATCATTTACATCTACTTAAAATATGGGCTTACGCCTTTATAATCAATCATCCTGGACAAACCTAGATAATTTACTTTCATAATATTTCGTAGCAAATAAAGTTTTAAGATATTTGTTTTGCGTTTATTTTTCATAGTTAAGTATTTTTATTCTTTCAAAAGGATACCAGACATTTTAATGCATAATATGCTTCTATCATGAATAAAACAATTTGATTTTCTCTAGGGATGAATGTTTTTTCATATGCATACAACACAAATCCTTGACACTAACTTCCTAGATGCCAATGACATTTTCCAAATACTCTTAAACTTGAGCTTCAAAGGGTAGAAAAATGGATGAAATAAGAATAAAAACTGTACTTCGATAGTGAATCATGTACAAAAGCAAGCTCATTTATAAGCTCATGTCCAACTTTGACCGTTCAGAAGCTTGCGGAAATACATAAATTTTAATTACAGAATAAATATTTAATTAATGATAAACAATCCTCAAATGTTCTAAATATTTCTGAGAGATTTCTATTCAATGTTGACTGAAAGAATTATTTTCAGATGTTTCTGGGCTTCCGGAAGCTTGATTTAAGAATTATTAGGAATTTTAAAAATATTTATGACTGATTTTATTTTGTATTACACATTAAATCTCATCCGAGTTTATTTCATTTAATCTAAACTAAAAAATAGATCAATTTGAAGTTATAGTATAAATTGTTTTTAAACAATTATCATATATTAATTCAGTCAAATAGTATTTGATTTTATTCAAAGACCGAAATTTCTCTAATGAGAATAATATCAGAATTATAAATTATTTAATTTTTTTATAGCAGATTGATTTCCACTTAACATAGTCTAACACTCTACATAAACCATGAATAAGAAAATTGTTATCCCAAACCTCCATCTCAAAACTCAATGTAGATTACATTGAGTGTGATTTATTTCAAAAATGTCAACTCTATAAGTCATAAAGATCACAGTTATTGGCATTCAATAAGTATAGTTAACCTCTTTTTAAATGAAACATAATAGCAAATAAACTATAGTGGACCAAAAAAACATATTAACTCAAAAATAGCAATAAAGTTATTACGTCCAAATGTTAATGTTATAATATATCAGTTATAAGTTATAAACACAAATAAAACAGACGTTACTTAAATCGGCAGGCTTGTGCGTGTTCGGGTTGCGTTTGGTACCAGAATCCACAGTTACAGATAATTCATAATTCCGATGAGGTTGTTATGGTTGCAGTAATATAGCCAAATGTAGAATATAATGTAAATGTGGCTGCAGTCTATAAATGTAGATAATAGAATTTCAGAGTTCAGTTACCATAACGACAGGTAATGGAGAACGAGCGACGTGTGTATAGTAGTGTAATTACGAGCAGTTACCAGCGTGTGCCATGCTATGAGTGTTACACAACGGAACAAAGTATGTTCAAGGTCATACACTTAAACAACATGTACGATCGTTTTGTGGTGAATGTACAAACTCTGAGAATTAACAAGATAAATGCAAATAATATCATAAACTATTTGCAATATATATATACAAAATATAGAACTTAGATGCCAAATCCAGTAAGAACTGTTGAAAACTCACAAAGAATAAAAGCTATTTCTCATGAACAAAATGCATTATGTCAGTAGATATTTCCAACCCAGTATATTAACAATTCTTTATATCCCTAAGATTTGTTACTTATTCTTTATTTTACAAGGTTGTTTAGATTAACATTGGGGTGCATATTTAGCCAACTGACAAGTCTTGAACAGGACAAAGCACGTGACCTGGATTCTTCCGCCCATAACTATCTAACTCTGCTTGAAATATTCTTTATTTTAACAGATACCCACGGTCTGTAATTATATATAAAAGATCAATACAACAATTTTAAGCACTATCTGGTTAAACAAACAAATTAAACAGTAACAAAATAACTTTTAATAAAAATAGGTGGTAACTTGCAGCGGAATTCAGTTTCATTTTACCTATATAAGACTCTTTAACCTGATGTATTGATATCTAAATGTTCATTTTGATTCTAGTTCCTACC